ACAGCAAGGCAGTCAGGTGTCTCTTTTACAGCTGAGGCACTGGAGTGCTACTGAGTCCACACTAGAACCTTGAGCATATGGACATCATGCATTGGCGTGTTGGACATGTGACTGCACTGGCAGGAATCACAAGCTTCACCCTCCTCCCATCCTGCACCTTATCTGTCCGATTGTGCAGCAGACTTGGACATTTTCGGAGGCCTCCTGCGGCCACACGTCCAACAATCTAAAAGGAGAATCCCACGTCCGAAAGACAGCTTAGGCTGCAAAGCTTTGGGACGCTGATTCGAAGCCGCACAGGGCCCATAAGTCCTTTCAGGATGGAGGTTTTACTGGTATCCACCGAGGCCGGAGGCCTGGAGCGTTTAGATCCAGAGCCGGAGACCAGAAGAGTAAGTAAACCCACCCCCTACCCCCTCCCAGTCCTTACAATTTCAGGGGTGGGGGTGCAATGGGCTCTTTTTTTCCGGTTTCTAAGGGGAGTAGGGGGGTCCGGGCGGTTGCCTGGGTTGTCTGGGTTTCGCACAGGCTGGCGGTGGGCAGCCCAAAACACCGGGCAGGGGTTCAGGTGACGATGACGCGTTTATGTCGCGCGCCAGACGCCCGTGCCGAGCCCAAACAGCTGCGGTGCCGGCTGCCCTTGCTCCTTGCCGAGGCGGTGTCGCGTTAGCGGTTAAATTAACGGGGTCAAGGGTTTAGCGTTTCAATGCTCGCGCTTTCAGCGCTCGGAGGAATTTGGGGATTGGTATGTCTTAGGGTGAGCGATTCGGGATTTAAATGCGGGTTCCATGCTTCAGGGCTTCGGGGTTTGGTTCAAGGGTTTCAGGATTGATTGCTTTTGGGATCTTTTTGGCTTCTTAGACTTTCTCAATGGTTACACGTTACAGGGATCAAGGGCTTTAGGCTTTGGGGATTGCGGATTTCAGGACAAGGGTTGTTGGGAAACTTAAGGTTTACAACGTTTATTTATGCTGCAAGGCTTTGGGACTTTAGCTGCTTTAGGGCTTTCAACTTTTGAAAATTTTGGGTTCAGAAGTTCTCGTGTTCTAGGGTTGAATGGTTTAGCATTTAGGGCTCAAAGTGGGAGGCGGATTGGTCACTGTTAAGCGATTTCAAGGCGGCTGTAGCGAATCTAGGGTCCTAGTTTTCAGGGCCTCTAGGGAGAATTTGTGCGCTCAGCATTTAGGGATTTTAGGGTTGGGAGTTTAGTGGTTCACATGCTTTGGGATTTTGGAGCGCTTGGCTTTGGCGTTGATCTGTTGAGCTTCTTCGTTCTGTTAGACGCCTCAGGAATCATCGAGTTTGAGCCGCCACCTCCTCGTTTTATGCTTGCAGATCCAGTCAAAACCTAGGACGGAGCGCAAATGGTTTTGATTTCCTCTCCTGCTTTCGCGAGGCCGCGTGACTAAAACAACCACGGAGCGTATGCCATTGGATTGCTACAGGCATGCGCAAGCCTTCCAGACCACGTGGAATGCATCTGAAGCCGACCACACAGAGTGCTCGCTGAGCTTCTCCACGTACACGCCATGATTGATGTCCTCACAGAAACATCCAATGGCTTTTGGTCAACCAACTTGGCTCGAGACTTCACCATGACAGTGTGTTCAACAATCTGATGTCCTCTCTGATTTGAAGATTTGTAGAACTTGGCTCCAGCAGGTCTGTAATCTGCTCCTGCTCTGCTACTTTACCATTCAAGAAAAACGAAGGCTCAGCTCGAAGGCAGTCCTTGTAAATCTCCAGGTACCTCTCGTGGCTAGACAGTCTGACATTTGAAGTCTGATTCACAGACTGCAAACTCCGCACAATGTGGAAACAGGCACAGGATGAAGTCATTGTTGAGAGGGGCACGAGCATTTGCAGCCGTGCTGAACTGTTCCTCCCGATTGATTGCGACGACCTGCTTCACCCCTCCAGCAGCTCGGAATGGATACCGCTAGCAGGTCACGGTCTGCCTATCTCGGCGAAGATGTAATCCAAGATACGGCACATCAAGCCCCTGCAGCGTGGAGATATGACGAGGCCTACTGCTGTCTGCACATTGACACTGGGTGAAGAGATTTCCAAAAAGGGGCCTCTGCGCACCGCTATGCATTGATTGCACAGAATCCTTAGGCCATGAAAACTGGGCCTGGTGACCTTCTGGTGGCACACCGCTTTGAGGCTGACACCACCTCGCCCTGCATCGTGTGAGTCTTGCCGCTGCCTGTTTGGCCGTACACGTAGATGCTGCCATTGTACCTTGCTTTTAGATTCACTTCGAAGCAGACAGCACATCACAAGTGTTCTGAGGTCTTGACCCACTCAAACAAGCTTCTGCTACGCCAGTGCCAAAGAGGTCAAAGACGTCCTCTTGAGTTGCGGACCTTCGCGCTGCAAATGGTTTATGACCAGTCAAGGAGCTACAGGCAAATCAGAACTGAATGCCAAGCTCTGGCAATACACCGTCGAAGGTAAAGTTTCGCGGGGGCTCGGCAAACAACTGCACCTCAGACGGGGCTCAGGCGAGGTGGGAAGTGCTGACAACTGTGGATGAACATCATCGGGCACTTCTTGCAAAGACATACCCAAAAGCTGTGCACAGCTTACTGGGCTTTCAGTTTTGTCCAACTCCGCCGTCGCCTATAACAGCTCGCTACCTTCATCCTCACTGTCCGACACCGGCTCCACCTGCGCATGCGTCAAGGGGATGTGGACTCTTTCTGAGAGTCAATGCCCTGGTGGCCTGGTCGAAGAGACCCTCGCAGGTTGAAAGCACCATCTTGGGGACAGCATATGACCCAGCGCCTGAAAGGAATTACAGCGAAAGCGCATCCCTGTCAACTGCTCTCCATCCAAAGGTCCTGCTGCAACTAGGAGTGCAAACCCAGGAAGCACGTGACCTTCATTCCATCGTGTGACTTCATTGATTTCATGCATGCTCACAGCCGAAGAGTCTCGCAGTGCAGAACAGGGGCATTCCATTGCCAAGCAGTCCACGTCAAGGTTGTCGAAAACCTCATTGCAGCTCACAGCGACACCACATCGTGAATTCTGCTACCAGAACGAACGTGTGTAAGCAGGCAGCCCAACCACATGCCGCGGCAATGTTGTCGTGATAGATCAAGAAATTTGAGAAGATCCAAAACTCGAAGTTTGCCACGGTCACGGCCAACACGAAAACATCGAAAGCCGCCCAAGCCTCGGAGCGCACCAGCTTGAGTCGGCAGACTCTTACTTGATGGTTCTGCTATAGTGCACCCAACTATGGCCCAGATGAGGACAGACGTATGCAGCACGTTGTTGAGGATTGCAAAGTGGCACGTCGTTTTCATTCCAAACTGCATCCCACTCTAGCTTTCTTCAAGGTCTAACAACGGCTTAAGCTCTGAGCTCTAGTTGAGATACTGACCAACAGGACTAATCGCAAGAGACAAACCCTTCTGACCTATAGAGCCAGACATGAAAGGTGTCGCTGCCCGCAAGTCAGCCACCTCAACGTAGACCCAAACAGATGTCTCGGGGGGAAAAGCAATCCAGAACATCCACATGCCGGAACGGACCCAGCGAATTAGATCCCGTCGATGTCTGACTTGACTATGACCATGGAGCTGAAGCAGCTCGTCTGACAACACATCTGGGTCATGGTTGCAATCGCTGGATGGCATATCATTATCCTACGAGTGGCATGATGAGGCTCCAACAAGCTGCTTACTCCGGAATAAAATCAGCCTGACATCGCACGGCCAAGTTGCTGGCTCTGTCACACAAATAGAACACACGTCAAAGCTCCCAAATCGCAGGCAGCGGTCATCGTTGAGTCGTCTTGAAACTTTATCCGCAAGCCTCTTCTAGGGGGCGCCCAAGAAAACATCCGCAGTGCTTCATCAAGCTGTATACCCTTTGCAATTTAATGTTTCATATCATAATTTTTACTCGGCTTCAAGGCATTCTCATATTCGCAACGCTTATCAATCGTACAGTCGTATAATTTGTGCAACTCAGCTGGCTTATCTGAAAGCTCAGGGGTGGTCTTCTGTTATTGTCGGCCCAGCGGGATGGGCCGGCCTTGCTGGCTACATACAAATCTAAATCAGAGGGTCACCTCACCCCCCGCCTGAAAACTTCACATAGACCTGCTAAAATTGAAGACCAACTGTGCTGATGAGGCTTCATCCGGGGAGCATGCGCACGCACCATGGACATAAGAATCATCAGCACAGTCGGGCTCCCATTTTGCATCCTCTTTCATTTATGCACTCTTGAAGGCGTTCCAAGCACTGCAGACCCTGATGAACCCCCAAAAACAGAAATGCTAAAACACGCCTGCACAAAGCCCCGATCGAATCTCACCAGGCCGTCAGAAGAAAGATATAAACCACAAGAACGGCTTTTTTCCCTCAGCGAAAGGTCTGGTAGCTGAGTCCCATCAGCACCGGCCTTATGAAGGTAAGCTGCTTGAAGAGCAAAAGTTTGACTAAGGAGACTCACCATCGAAAAGTTGCACAGGAAGTCATAAAGCGAGATCGTGGAGAAGGCATTGCCTCTGCGGGCATGTTGATTTGCTAGCCGCACGCATGCCATCCGCAACAATCAAAAGTGGCATCAAGTGGCCCTTCAGGAAATGCGCCTCAGCAGTGGGTCCATATTGTATGTGGCATTTTTAACGGAAGTGGAAAGTGGCGGCGTGCCAGCCCCCCCTTCTGGAGGCATCAACTCCGCAAAGGGGTCCCTGACTGTCAGGAGGCGGCTCTCGAAAGAGGCTGCGCCAGCAGTCAAGCCCACTTTGGGCTGATGGAGACTGTCATAAGATGGATCTCGAGATGTACCGTCGAAGTGGTTCCATTGCCCTGCATGAGAGGCACTCACTAGCCAGCAAGGGAAAACCTGCTATACTTCACAGAAAAGAGCACAGACTGTCCCCCCTCAGCCGACAAGAGTATGCACATAGCCAACTCTAGATACCCGGAGGAAGAGCGGGCACCCTGCTATGCCAAGGCCTCACCAGAAACCCTAGCTCCTAAAACCGGTATAAAGCCAGCAACATCTGCACAAAATCATCACATCAAAAAGCATCCTGAAACATATGAAATCAAAATCAAAAATTCAAATGGCATCCAGTATTGGAGCCAGCCCTCAAAACAAGCACGTGCTTGTGATACTATTTTTTGAGAGTCCGACAGGTCCCCAAAAAGCCTTTGCAAATGTGTCCCTGTGGTGAGGAGAAATCTCAAAGGCGCATGCCAAATTTGGGGCTCGTGGCAGAAACACTTGGAGAAACGGAGGGATGTACGGAGGTCGGATGATGCTGTGCCAGAGGGGTGCCACCCCCTGGTCGACCTCCCTTTCTCCAACGACCCCTCGAAAACTCTGGTCTCCAAACCACGCGTTTTTCCGGCCCCCACAAAGCATCATGAGCGATCATGAGCCCGCGCTTCGTGAAAGCTGCTCACCTACCCCTCTGGACCGCGGGCCTAATACCATGTTTAGGGATACCGCAGGGCTCCAAATCGGAGAAACAGAACCCCATCCAAACAGCCAGCATCACATCAACGTCAGCATCACTCAGGGTCCGTTTCTCCCTCTCTAGGTTTCTGGGCTGCCCGCACACGCGCTGGCCAAGCATTATGAGTTGAAGGAGGTTTAGGCGCAGGCCTCACGGAGGTTACTCTGGCTTTATGCGATGGCTGTATGAGCTTATTTTACTTGAAAGTTTAGTGAGTTTGAGGTTATGATGGTTTTGACTGCTGTATGCAGCTTTCATGCAGGTTCCATGGGGTGTTAACGATGATTTGAGGGTCCAGGGCTTCAGGTTCAAGCATCTTTTCACCGAGAAGGACCTGCACAGCCAAGCATCTAGTCCAGCACACAGCCCAAGCATTGCACCAGAAGCAGCTGAGGATATGGAAGGCCTTGAACAGGCGGATGACAAAGCTGCAGCGGAGAAAGCTGCAGCTCAGAAAGCTGAAGCGTAGAAAGCCGCAGTGGCAGCAGACAAAGCTGCTGCGGAGAAAGAATAGCAGTATTAATACCGATAGTAACAGTAATTGTAACAATAGTAATAGTAATGGGAATGGTAGTAGTAATAGGGCCCGCCGCGTTAAAAGGGCGGTGGTTCTTGAGACGTTCATGTTCGAAAGCCTGCGATATCTAGAGCATCCATGTCCAAGCCATAGTAACGTTCATGTTCGAGAGCCTGCCATATCTAGCGCATCCATGCCCAAACCGTAATACTGTACATGTTCCTCCATGAGCACGAAGTCCTGTAAATTACAATACTTTCCTGTCTTCCTCTAAATTGTCGAGGCCCAAAATGCAAAAACCCTTGAAGCTTCGAGAGGCTACAATATCTAGAGCATGCCCAAACCATAATAACGTTCGTGTTCGAGGGGATACGGTATCTAGAGCATCCATGATCTAGAGCATCCATGCCCAAGCCGTAATCACGTGCGTGTTCCTCCATGAGCACGAAGTCCTGTAAATTACAATACTTCCCTGTCTTCCTCCAAATTGTTGAGGCCCAAAAGCCCTTGAGGCTCAAAAACCACCGCCCTGTTAACGCGGCGAGGCCTAGTAATAGTAGTAGTAATAGTGATAGTAACAGTAATAGTAATAGTAATCGTAATAGGAATAGAAATAGTAATCATAATAGTAATCGTAATAGCAATAGAAAAAAAACAATCGTAATCGTAATGGTAATAGTAATAGTAATAACCATTAGTGATAAAACGATGATGCTAATATGCACCAATAACGCTACTATTCCATAACATTCTATGATGGCATTTCGGAGTGGAGCGGAGTTTTATGTGGGTTTCGTGGGGTTTGTACAAGAGGTAGTAGGAACACTTAAAGCTCTGCCGACTCATATACAGGTAATATGGGGGATATATTTATATATATATATAAATGCATAAACCCCTACATATATATATATGTGTAGTGTGTATATATATATATGCGGGTAAGATAGTGTATCACTGTGTCCATGGTGCATCCTCTCAAGAACCCAATCCTTTTTGGGGCGGTTAAGGGCTACTGCGGGCTCGTCGGATGCACATATGAAAGAACACCTGCTATGGCTATTGGATACCAGCATTTCAGAAAGAATATGGGGGTTTCCCAGAATTAGGGGTACCATTTTGGGGGTCCCAATAATAAGGATTATAGTATTTTGGGGTCTATATTGGGGTCCCCCTAATTTGGTAAATTACCATATCTGTTCTGCCTCCGAGGAGCATCCAGGACATGGCAGATTTTCCAAAGCAACAGCTGCTGAGGACGCTCCATAGGCAGGAGCAGAAGCGTCAAAACGGCACAAACCAGCAGCAGTGGGATGACCTTAGAAGCCAAGAGCAAGCAGCTACAACTAAAAACATGCTGCCATAGATCATGAGCAATCTGCTGTAAGACCCGGACAAGAGTGAAGATGAAGAAAATAGATTGAACTGCGTGCAAACCACCCTTGATCAGGCATCAAAGGCTGTTCTGGTTTACAGGGCTGCTGCAAAATCTTCCTGTTACAGGGGAACATGATATGCAATCCTGGGCGCGGATTCTTGAAATCCTGTCGTCAAGAACATGCCCAAGCTGATGAGGCTGTATTTGAGATCCTTCTCCTGGCTACAGCATCCCATGAATGAGGAACACCGCAATAATGATGGTGCCGGTGATGATGTGATGGTGATGATGTTTATGCTGAACTCAGCCAGAGGTCTGATTCAGGCTTAGCTGCTCTCGACTCTCTCGACCTCACAGTGTCAACACTCACAGTCAACATTGGACGCATTCCTCTTCATCCAGCAGCAGGTCGGCTATGGCTCCAGACACCTGCAAGCTTCACCGTTCGGAGCTGTTGCTAATTGCCAATGTCCTACTCTTGAAGTACAGAAAGCTGGCAACCAGATGATACTGACTTACGGACGAAGGTTGCTTTCGTTCCCCAGTTCAAGAGGTCAAGAGACTGAATGGCTTCAGGAGGCCACGCCATGCACGACGCGGTACATGAGTGGACGAAAGGGACTGGTCTGCTCTCAGAACTGGCCAACTCAAAGACAGAACTTGCATACGGAGGCACCAGTGGCCTTGTCAGTGTCAAGTGAAGTTCAAGCAGTGTGGCAGAGTGGCGATCAGTACGGTACAGCCGCGTTTGTACTACAGGACTTGACTACTTTGAACGTAGTACATCCAAACATGATTTGCTCTCATCAACACACGGCTGATGTTCGGCTGCTGAGGTGCCCCCAAGCCCGCCGTGTTCTGTTTCCTCCCCTCAATGCTGCTAGGTTGCCCACCAAGCAACAGCACAATAGGGAACCGAGGCAGACGCTCCCAACTACATTTGCACGTTTGGCAAACTGCCTCTCCCGCCCACAGATGATGTGCACCAAGCAACTTCAGACAGTGTGCACGAAGCTATGCAATTCTTCAACCATGCTCCTGGCATGCTGAGAGCGCTAATGATGATGATCCCGCATCAGGGTGGCATGCACATGTAGGCGCTCGCATAGAACCTGAAACAGATTGAAAAAGAACACCAGAAAACATCGAAATCGCAATGCAAACGACCAGATCAAACCGGGGCTTGTATAAAATGCGTAGCCTTTGCTGACAAGCTCAAGCAGTCGTGTTTATCTTACGTTGTCATCTGCTTTCTGGTCACAACCTTAAACACAGAAATTCCATGAAGGACCCTGGCCTTGTACTGCAGGGACATCAGACCGGCCGAACAAGCTACAGCGAGCCCGGTAAGAAGAGTCAGCACCAGCAAAAGCGCCGAGTGCCCTTGACACATGAAAGCAGAATGCATGGCTGTGGGAAATAGTAAGCAGGGCGGGACAACTGCTTGGCATTACCTCCACTTCAACATACTTCAACCTTCTGAAGCTTTGACAGCAACTCTGCAGCGCTCCTTGGGAAAGTTCACGGCACAGGCTTTGCCTCGGCCAATATTGGCTGCTGCCCTGGCTGGTTCTCCGGGAAACTTCGCTCGCCAGCTTGCCATCTTCCAAGCTTCGCCTCCAAGATTGTGAAAAAAGCGTAGCAATATAAATATGATCACAATGACTCAGAGGCCATGCCTGTTGCACTCTGTTGCAACATGTCCAAGGACCAGCGACAGAACGCTGGCAACAACGAAGGTGAAAAAAGGCAGCATTGGCTCGGGGGTCACCTGGACAAACACCTCCTGGCCGAGCATCTGTTTTAGCACACTCTGCTTCTCACAATTAGCCTGTCGATGCTGAGTGGCTCTCCTGCCCGAACCACTTGATATCGAAGGCGCACAGGGCCAGGATGGCAAGCCATGAGTCAACAAGACTGTACCTGGGGCTCTTCACAGCGGTACCTTTTCAGCAACGGCATTTCCTTTGCTATCGAAGGGTCTTTCCATACTCGTCCAGGAAGAGTAGAACTCGACTTCGTCGTGACCTGCACATGGAAAACAGGTCTGTTGCTTGCTCGTGAAGCCTGACCTGGTCCCAGATTCGTGGATCCGCGTCGGGGTCGGCGTGCCAGGGTGTTGATTGAAACACGCCATTTGTTGCCAAGACCTGCCCCCTTCGTGGCAGCAATTTCAGGCTTTCTTCAGAATCTGCTCCTACAGCACCCAGGTAGAGAGACTCTTGCATGAGTGCCTAAGTAAAACGTCACTAGATCTATTTTCCATGGGATCATGTCTTTAAATGATCCGCTGTGACCAGTAAAAGAGAGGCGAAGACCAGCCGCAGCTCTTGTCTGACTCCCCGTATCACCCACATCCCACCCTGTCAGCGCCTAATATACACATTTTCATCTGCATTAACGAACCCCGCGGCATGCATTTCGTGACGGAGGATATGAATCTGACACTCAGGGTATGAATCACGGATCTAGAATCCATCTTTTTTGAAAGAAAAGCTGCTTGAGGCGGATCCATGAGCTGCAACCGAGTGTCGGTCTCAGCCTCGTCGAAGGGGCCAGCCACACATGCAGTAAGAGGCCGAGCTTCACAAAAGGCCACACCTGCAGCGCAATGCAGCGCAGCCTTCATGAGTGCAGGCATGTAGACTGCAACTGGCACGCCTCAGGACGGGACACCACTCAGTCCAACGATCAGAAGTGCCAATAGCCATGCACCTGTCAGATTTGCCGGCAAGCTGCTGGCAAGCGTCTTTGCTTGTTTCTTGCTTTATGCACAGGTGCTGGCCGCTGGAACAAAAGCCCAGTTCCTGCGAAGACGCGTGAGAGGGCAAAACGCGATCATAGGCTGCACCGATGGCTCAATGAGTTGTCAACAGCGTGAAGTGGAGCGTTGAACATGACTATGCTTAAAAAAGCTTGTTCAAACTCTGTGGTGGCACATCGGGGTCTTCCCCAGTTCTCCTGTTGACCTACAGTAGCGAGCTCAGTGCGTGTCAGCAAAAGTGACATCGTGTGACTACCACTTCAAGCTGAGAAAGCGGACAGCAAGTGCACCTCCACGCAAGCTGTCCCGCGAAAGTGTGAAAACCTGAACACGGCTGGAAAGGATGAGGCGCAGAGTCAAATCTAACAAACGTCAAGCACGCAGGGAGATTGGTGGCGACACCCCCCGAGAAAGAAAACACGTCAGTGATGGCACGTCGTTAATGGACAGTACTGCAGCCCATCCCCATCTCTTACTTGAGAGGATGGGGTCTTCCCACTGCAATCGCAGCCATTTGGCCAGCTCCGAGTATCTCATCTTCACATGTAATCCAGCTTGGTCACCATCAAGTCGCTTCTGACTGCGTGTTCAGTTGTAGCTTTGAGTCTTGGAACGCAGGAGGGGGCCATACCACATGTGCCAAGGTGAAATACCTCTAGTCATCGATATCCCGAATGCAAGGATGCTTTGCGGACTTGCAATCGATTCTGTGGCCATGCGGCAGGTTCAGACAATTATGGGTCGATGAGCTCACATACGTTCGTTTCAACACCAACAGCCCCTTAAAAATCATTTTCTCGTGGTTCAGCTTCAGAATTGTTTGCAAACTGAAGCCAAAGGCGCTCCTCAGCGCCGGTGGTGTCCCAGCGGATACGAGGCACCGCAGACAAATTGAGATTTATGTGCGTTTTGCCAACTCGGAAACAGATGTTGGGTGGGGGGCGTCAGTAGATCAAAGATGTCCAACCCAAATGTGAACCTTCATCCACAGCGACGCACACACTCGCAACCCCCAGAAGAACACACTCCGAAGAATCAACCCTCATATTTCTTCAAGCGGTGCCTTAAAATCTTGAATTGCTTCGAATCCGCTAACCGACTTGACCCTTAATTCCATATCGAATCACACTCTGTGAAGTTCAGTCAGATCCAACTGGCTGTGCACTGAAACTTATCTATATCCAGATGGGTAAGAGGCTGGTTGCGCTCAAGATGCTGAGAATGAGAATGCCGGGCCAATGGTCACGCGCTCTGACTCGGCTTGGAAAACGATGTTGATTACCTGAAAGTCCACATGCATCTCCAGGAAGGGCAGGAGTGGGAAATGCAGAATAAACATCTGAAAGCTGGTGCCTAAGCAAGGGACCGTTCCCAGTCCCAGGTCGGAATAAAGAAACAAGAACATCGTGGCTACCTGCATGCAGCCAGAAATCATGAAGCACCTGCCCGGCAACGGCATAACCCAAGGCGCGGACAAGGAGAAAGGGATAAGCAACAGACACGCCACGTGGAACTGCAGAGCTGGCTCCCAGAGATGTTTTGTCGCTTGCGATATCACCTGCTCACCATGATGCGACGGATTCTCGTCACGGCTTTGCTGCCGCTAACCCATAGCCTTCGTCCTCGTGCATTTCTGCGTGTACTCCCGCCGCAATTCCGATCCTGGGTTAAAGCATCGACGCTTTGGCATAAGGCGTTGAGAGGTTACGCACTGATTACGCCCAAAACTGCACTGCAGCTCCGCAGCAGTGCCAACAGCAAAGATGCGAGGAGCAAGGACATGTTGACCAAACCTGCTCACGCATTCTTCAGCGAAACGCAACTGTGTTCTTGAGAATGACGGCATGTCACAACTTGATTTCTGATATGTCAGCTATGTGAGCCGCGTCAATAGGCAGGACACAGTTTGCCAGCATGCAACATCAAGGGCAAACCTCTGTGATAGCTCCTTGCCCTGGCCCTGAATACACATGCTTCACGTGTGAACACCTCACGTCCAACAGTGCCATAGCAAGCGGTTGCGTCACCAGTGATCCTGCCTCTGGCTGTGAGTCACATAATTTGAGTCTTGATGGTGCTTTTTGGCAAGGTGGATTAGATGATGTCCCCTATTGCAAATCCATTGCCTTCTGGTCCGAAATAGACCTCCGTCTTGAGACACGGCGGGGCATTCTCCAGCGTTTGCTTGACCATGTCATTCAGAGTATCATGGAGGATGATTGCGGAAGACTGGCCAGGGACACTTCAGTTGAGAGAACTCGCAACCAGAAAAAGGCAGCAAATCAGTCACAAAATGCTTCATCCGTGTGTATGGCCTGTTTAGAAGACCCATGCTGCATCCCTGTGTATCGCCTGGATGATCTGTTCAATCGACGGCGCATAACCATGAAGAGTGGCCCTTGTTGGGATCGGCTTGGAGCTCACACTTTCAGATCAAGAAACGTGGTTTAAGAAAAAGCAGCAATGTAAACAGAGCTGATGGTTACAGGACCTAATTCATGCGAGCGGAGCTGATGTATTGAGGAGGCACCTCAGCATGGATGTCATGGCATCTGCAACGTCATCTCCCAGCGACCCAGTCCCGACCATGCCTCAACTAACGTTGCAGCAAAGCACTCCGGTCACAACACCTGGCAGACTCCGTGCTCGTGCACAATTGAGTGAGGGACGGGCCAATGGGATCGTCATGTTCTGGATATCTAACCTGCGAGCATCCGCAAGCATGTATCTGGTAGCTCACACAATTTAGTCTGCCCTCGTTGGCAGGAAAAGGCCTGCGCAGCGCTACGGGTGCCTCGGAGCCCAGGGCCGCCCCACGCGCACATGCCACCAGGCATTCCAGCTTCTGGAATTGATCCACTTCCAAAGCTCCCAAGGCCTGGCCAAGCCATCCTAAACCGAAACCCGAGCTTTTGGGTTTGGGGTGTCGAGTCGGGTTTGCAGTGAGGACGGTTTTGCAGAAGGCTTGCCTCTTCAGAGACCATGGCAAGGATATCAGTCTCAGCAGTGATGTTGCCCAAGCCAATCAATATTTCAAATTGCTCCAGAAGAGGCAAGGCCTGTGCTAGGACACAGGAACATTTTGGACTGTCCGTTGCCACAAATTCTCCTAGCAAACAATGCAGTCCGTTCGCTTGCTTTAATGAGCGTCGGTCCACGGCTTTCAACTGAGCCTGACGTGAATCAGGAAGATGCAGATGCTGCGAATCAAGGCAAACATTGACATGGGAGTTAGTCATCTTCAGTCAATTAATAGATTCGAAGCCTGTATTGTTGCGGTGAATCTGAGATCGCTGAATGAAGCTGTTGAAGTCAAAGTGTGACCATTTCCATGCAGGTCCAAGCTTCCCTCAACGAAGCTGTCCTGGGCAAGCATCTAAGTGAGTGCACCATTGCTGCCCTCAGGTCAAGCAAACTGGCAGAACTTGGAAAGCCCAAAAAACACCAAACATCCACAAACCCTGAATTTCCCGAACTAAACGCATGAAAAGCCTGGCCCGCTGCATAGTGCGACGCCTCAAAGCCGAATCAAGAAAACATCAAAACCTGAGCCATTGACCCTGCGACCCTGGGCCTTGCAGCAACCCTTACGACGAAAACAAACGCAGCGCGAGGAAGACGGGAATTGAATTGCAACACATCCTCCTTACCTGGATAACCATTGGGCCTTTGCCACAAGTGCAGCTTACGGTGATTGCCGCAGTTGGAACTGCAGTTCACTCAAGGTGCTGGCTTTAGGCGCAGGCAATGGGCAGGAAGCCATCCCACCCGACGTGACATGATCGCAACTATTCCAAGGAACAGGATGTCTTGTCATGTTTTCGCGCACGCTCCTAGTGTCGAAAGTCGTGCCAAACCCGTTCGAAACCCGAATCAACGCAAAATTCCAAAAGGAATCCGTGCTTCGGCATTAGAGTTGAACTGCCAAGAAACGAATTCAACAGGAACCACGTTTCTCACATTGAAGTAAGTTGTACTGGCTAGAGATGAATTTGACTGCTGGAGCTTAGGAAACGATTTCATGACTGAAGTTGCTTTGCCAGGAGAGCAAACCCAGCCAGAAGCCGTGAGTAGACTTTTCCGATGAAGAGACGATTCTACCAGGACCCCAAATCCAAGCCTGGCAGCCTGACCCTTGCACACATGGCAGGTTCCAGGCACATTGCATACACATCCTGAGGTCAGCACTAGGCCATCTACTTTCAACTCCTCAACAGTAGATGCTTCGGTAAAAGCATCGCTCACTTCAAAAACGACTGATGTTGCTGAAAAGCAGGTCCTGTAAATAGCTTCTGAAGGTTGTTCCAAGAGCATCGACAGTGATGCTGCGATTGATGTGGAGCTGATGCAGGGGCACCTCGGGCTAGCAACACAGGCAGCGAACTGCCGCACGCCTAACGCGATGGCTGTGCCTTCTGGGCAGGGATACGCCTCATCAAACCTGCCACGACACCTGTGCAAGCACTCTGAGTTGAAGACACTCCAAGATACTTCGAAACAAGCTAGCTGGTGCATTGCTATTCGGCCTGCCTGGCTTTGCTCTGATCAGCTCGCGCAGAAGTCGAGCAGGCGGATAGCTGGACCAGTCAACCACATCTCGGCTCTGAAGGGATCAACAAGAGTCGAAATGAAGTGAGCGCATGCTGTTGGGTGTCTGGCTGCCGACTGCTGTTGGTTCTGGCGGCAACTCATGGTGACCTTCTTCGGGCCAGCTGAGCAAGATGTTGTGGCTGCAAACCAAAGAAACTTGCACCTGCCTGTCAAGAGAGGCTCAACCTGCGTCAGCACAGATGCCAGAGCCGCAGTGGCCTCCACACAAACACTCCACAAACACTCTGCCATGCCAAGGCAAAAACGTCTGTTGACCTGCTCTTCCAGTAGCGGCGGTATCTGCGAGCAGGCCACGCTGGGGAGCTCCTTTCCCAGTCAACACCCCTCCCATGAAGGACAACTAGCATCACAATCATCATAACTGCGGACCGGGTCCTGATTCACAAACTGTTGCAAAGCAGGTTGCAGCTGAGAAAGTGCGGATTCGAAGATGAACGAACCGCTGAATCGTAGCCGGCTCATGGCCACCTTTGTCTGCGAAGAACCAGGAAAGACGATGTACGAATGCTCGACAGCTCCAGTTTGGCTGAGGTCAGTCACTCCAATGGAGCAGTGTGTCACACTGACCTGACCTGGCCATGAATCCAACTTGCGACCATGGACTTAACTGCTTCAACTCAGACAGCTGCGCCAAGAGGAACAGCCAGCTCTGAACCCAAGGGACGCACAGGATCTACCTTAAATGCGCATCACCGCAATGACAACTTCTGACAGAACATCCTGTGCGAGCTGAAAAGGTGTTGAAGCAGATCAACTGACTGGCAGTGGCAAGCTGCTGCAAAGGTCAGATCGGCCGTGGCATTTTCCAAGTAGAAGCCTTGAGCATAAACGGATATCAACGCATTTTTCGTGGCCAATTCAACTGTCGCTACTTGACTCCATCTCAGCTAAGTTCTGACATGTTGTCTCATGCTAAAGCAGCTGAGAGCGCGACTCACCTCCAAACTGCCACCACTGGCCAGAACGATGCAGTGTAAGTTCGCTGCAACCTGCTTTCATCATGCACTTCATCACTTCTACGGCTCTAGTTCACCTTTAAGATTGCATTCACATCCCTGAAGTACATTCTCCTTAGCACACATGCACTTGCCTGTATCCGCAGCACCGGTGATGTGGGGCTTATGGTCAAGTCTGTAGCCTGGTCGTGGGAGTGCTCCACGTTGCAACACAGAGCTTAACTGGTCACACGAGCTTCACCTCCACTTGTGAGATCCTGCACAGAATGCTTCAAGTTGCTCATCAATTCATTGCCGAATTCAGTTACACATGATTCAACATTCTGCCTTCCATGCCAATGCAATCAAGCCAGCATATTGTTGCATCGGCTAGCTGGTCCTTATCCGGCTGCAATTGCCGCCAGCAAGTTGAAGAGGATTGGTGAAGGGGTCCGCAGCTGGCTTTGGGACCTGGGAAGATGGCAGACATGATCCAAAACAATAGGACATCAGTTCGCTGTTCCCACCTCAATTTCCAAACGATAAAGCCAGTCTCCAAATGATAGCCCAGACGAGAGCTCACCTCAGCAACAAAGGTTAGACAAATTGCTAACTTCATGGGATAATGAATCCTGTGCGAGTCAGGCCACCACTGGAATCGTCTGTTGTTATCGACACTTCTGGATCGCATGATGCCAACAACAGGGATGCCAGCCTGAGTTGTCTGGATGTCCTTCAGGCAGTTATGTAGCATGGATTCCGGTCGTCTCCAAGACACAGCAGGCAGCACTCTGCACGGACTGCATTTGGCATACTCCTGTGCTTGAGCCTATATGAATATCAGGCGAAGAGGTGCCGCGAATCGAATCAACATTTTGCTGCCACATGTGCTGAAATCACGGGTGGACAAACAAACCTGGAAACTTACAGCACACAAACAACCATGACTCTGATGTTGGGGCTGGACAGATCCAGACTCGGCGTCCACATAGATGCTATCTCGCATGTGGGCAAAGTCCTGCCACTCTGCCGGCCTAACACATGCTGTTCAACGGAGCAACAAACCAAGCGTCCTCTTTGACACTGAGTGGGCGAGCACGGACGAAAACGCGAATCTGCAAGGCATATGAATCTAAGGCAGACCATGAACCCGGAAATGACAACACTTTTGAACTTGCCACTGGCCATCATGCAAATTACAGAAGCGGACCGTGTCTCCGCGACCATCCGGGGAAGAAGAACCAGGCGATGCCGGTGAATGGGCAGGTTCCCCCGTATCTGCGAAGACAGCGTCCTGAAAGATTGAGTAGCGCAAGGCAGGTCCATCCTTACAGTGACTCGCAAAAATGATGCACCATGACCTCGTCATCTGCATCTGCATCTTCCTCCTGCAATTCTGGACAAGTAGGCCAAAGTGGTGCGACCTTGCGTGCCAATGGAGCGCTTGGCCTGCAACATTCCGCTCCATCCGCATGGATTCTTAACGCAGCGCTGCTGTGTTGCACATGATTTTAGGCAGTTGATGTGCACAACAATGGCTGCTCAACAATCTTGTTCAGCAGGCTTGTCCTGACTCCTGTGCTGCACACGTCAAGAGGCATAATCTTGTCAGTGAGACTTGGAACTGGCTTCAATGCCGGCAAGAATGTTTTGCAAACGTGATTAACCGATGTAGGCAAAAGGTTGTCTCTGCGAGGGATTTTTAGAAGTTAATAAGTTACTAGGCTCGTCTACAACTTTCTTATGGAAATACTTGGCTGGGAGATGTGGTTTACCAGCTGGCCTCATGTTGTCCAATATCAAACTGAAAAGAAGCCCAGGGCCCGGTGAAACCCCCGCATGACGAGATCGCCTGTTGGCTGGCTGCTTTCGACATGATGATTCCAAAGCAGAAATCGGGAAACTTTCGGCCCAGCCATGCCCAGGCACTACGGCACAGCACGGAAGACAGAAGCTTGCCACTTGTAGTTAACCTTCCGACAATGAATGGTGCGAACTCGTAGCCAACCACCTCAACCTGGCACAAACTCAATACGCCCATGTGCCATGCTTGCTCTCATGGTAGCATCACACGGGACCGCTGGAATCCAACAGCGCTAACTACAGTCGGAGAAATCCAGTCCACGATGGCAGCCAGGTCTGAGGCAGAGAACGACTGCTGAAAGTACCTGCCCGCCTAAGACCAGCAAAGGCAGAGTCTGCGCACGCGTCAGCACAGGCCTCGCATTGTGGGAGGGGGCTCACCACAACGCAGCGCACTAAAGACGGCGCGGACAAAAGATCCAGGTGACCTCCTGAAATATGAAACCAGGGGAGGCTGGCCTGGGTCCAAACGCAGGACGCCACAGGCTGAGGCGGCAGATGAGACGTTGCGCGGACAGAGGTGTTGGCCGCTGCCAAAAGCTAAGAGCCGACAGGCATGGAAGGAACCAGATCCGTAATGATGAGGTCATCGTCGACAGATGAGTGCCACTGAGGGTGAGGCTGGGGTGGAATGCCCCCGCCAAGGCAGGTAGCGAGATGAACTTACGAATAATTTTTCAAGCGTCACAAGTTCTTGCCATCTTCCATATCACCTGTGAAAGAGTCCAGGCAGATGACCAATGAGCAGAGAGTGGCCAACATAGATCATAGATGGCCCAGACAGGTACTGTAGTAGCCCGAAGCACGGGCGCCAAAATTCAGACAGCGTCATGGTGGTGAAAACACAGCAGACCCTGGTCGGTGGGCATTGGATGCGTCCGACAAAGAAGCGTGAAGTTCTCTGGCGAGACTGCCCATAACCAGGGGCGGGCGCCCTTCAATCAGAACAACGCTGAGCAGTTCTTCTCATTGTGCTGTTGTCGCAACACCGACACGCCCCCAGGGACAGGGCGGATCCAGCCTTGAGAGAGACAGAGTTCCATGGCCACAAATTGATCACAATGCGGCAGGCAGACGCGCCGGGCTGAAGAGGCTCCAGGGCAGACCAGGGCGCAGGAGCCAAGGTCCACACCCAGCGGAAGCCATCTGTAGGCGCAGGCGGAAAGGCTGTCCAGAAGGGACAGCAAACTGATCCCGGGCACTGTCAGGGAGAGGGCCCAGAAAGGAGCCTGCATCAGACACAAACGGAAGCAAGTCAGCATCAGATAGAGCTGGCTTCTTGGACTCGGGCGCAGCGCAGCCACCACACGAGTGCGCGGGTCGGAGTCCCGTGCGCTTGCACCAGCAGAGAGGAAAATGAGTCAGGCGTGCGAGGAACGCACCAGGCAGCAGCGCTGGGCAGACCACCACCATCTTCAACGCGAAAAGAAGCCATGAGCGCAGGCTGCAACGTGACGGATCCAGAGATGCACCATGAGAAGCAGGCAGGTCAAGCGTCAAGCCAGTCCAGGCTAGAGGCTGGATTGTGCCCAGTGACAGGATGCATCTAAGGTCAAAATTAAGAGAGGTCGATCTCGCGCTGAGCCGGTGTTGGTATGGGTTGGGTTGCCTGATCCATGTCGCCTGGGTCTAGGCGGCGGGGGCAGCCGTATCCATCGCCTTCTGGCACTGCCTGAAGGCTATTAGGGCTCAATCTCCTGAGGCGGCTCCCAGTTTTGCCATTGTGTTGCTCATTGTCACTTAGCTCACCGAAGTGGCCGACTCTGCCTGCTCTGCATGGCCGCCCTTGGCAAGCCACTGCTGGTTAGCAGCAAAACCCGCTCCGCTGACTTGCGCCAGGTCTGTCGGTCTCCTCATAGGGGCCGTGGAATCCTGACCAATGGGCTGTAGGTCAGCGAAGCGCGAGGCATTAGCTGGGCCGGGCTCACTCGGCACCTGGCCCGTTCTGACGGCCATCTCTTCCGCACTGGTGTCCGCGACCTTCTGTAAAAGGGAGATGACAATGCTGCGCTGTCCTTCCTCATCTGCTTGCTGCATAGCCTCCCTTACAGAGGCCCCAATGCGCTCAGAGAGCCTATCGAAGGGGCCTGCCATGTCAGGATCGCGGTCACAAGAGCTTTCACCGTCAGGGTCATGTTGCAAAACATGTTATGTGCGCTGGGCATCCAAATGCTGAGCCAGCAGGGGTATTATGAATGAGCTAGGCAGTTTGCGACAGCACCAGGCAAGTGGGAATGCAGATGCAGGGAAGTGCCTGGCACTACTTTGCGGCGTCCAAAAGGGCCGGTCACCTGGCATGGCTACTGTACCCGGAATCTCTCCATGTTTCTGGCAGGCAGCATCCTGCACCAAGCTTCTTCCTCACCTGGCAGTAGGACCCTTCTCATGACCATCCCCATCTCTCCTCTGGATCCAAGGTTCCATCTCACGACGGATTTGCGTTGCTTTGAGCCATCTTTCGAACTTGGTACAAGACCGCACAACATGTTCTGCCGGCAGGTTCTCAAACATGGCGAAAATGCGATGTTGATCGCGTTTGAAGATCTCGTCCGAGTTTGCAGAATCTTCGCTGGGCACCTCTGACATGCTCTGCTCCGGCTCCTCCTCTTTATCGAGGGGCGACATGGTGTGTAGCACGCCTGCAAAATAGATGACCCTACCTCCTGCCAGTGTGCGTTGTCTGACATTCAAGAGCAGCTGTTCAAGCATCCTTTCAAAGGATGCTGTGTCAAGCAACGAAAATTGGAAAATCTGCAGGTGCTCAAAGATGTTGGCCTCCGATAATTCATCGGCAACTTGCGCCTTTCTGTGCTCGGTGCTCCCCGTTAGGGGCCGGGTAGGCTGCGAGGTACGCTTCCATGCCAATTCGCTAGACGTCGGTATGCTTCTGCATCACGTATACAAGGCAAGCTGTTCCACTCCTGTCATGATGCCTCACAAGCAAGGGCTTCTGCAGAGTAGACAATGGTAATGTCAGACCGATCCGAGATGCTATCCCGGTCTGCGGCCGCAACTCTGGAGGAGGGGCGCGTGCGTTTACGACCAGCAGGTACGCTATCGGTTGCAGACATAATTGAACTCTTGCCACACGCTTCTAGGAAAGCTTCATGCCATGGCAAAACCCACTACGAAGTCAAAAATCAGCTTGAGCCCTGGTGACAGAGAGAGAGAGGGAGAGAGACAGAGAGAAAACACAAATAGAGAGGAAGATAAAAAACTGATGATGCTGATGACGACGACGCAGCGGATGATGTTAATGCCTCGGATGAGCAGCAGCAGTGGCGGTGGCAGTAGGAGGGCTTATGCTTGATATTCAATACATCTCCGCCTCCATGCTACAGGACGCCGACTGTGAGCCCCCGCCAACCAGGGATTGAATTTATAGCGTGCGAACTCCAAGCTTCCCTGCTAACCATACCGACCTCTGCCGGCTTGCACTTGCTTGCGTGATAAGACTTGGTGACTCCTGTTGAAGCTCATGAAGTTGATGCGTGTGGATTGGCCTAGAGGCACTCTGTGCCTTGTGGTAGGTACCGATGAGAAAACCACTGTGTTCTGCCATGTTTTGCCATCATGCAGGTACGCATAAAGCGCATGTCACCGATTCAGTGGCCCTTCTCTCCTTTTTTCCGACAGCTTGTGAGGAAGAGAGGCTTCCCGGGCACTCTCCGTGCTGTGGACGCGCCAAACTGCAATTAGTGGGCTCTAAGTCTCTTGGCTGATTGCAACCGTCAAGCAAGCCTTAGTACACACATGTCCACATAATGGAGATGAATATGCCGCTGAAATGTGCTCCAGTTCCGAACATCAGCGTGGCTGAGCCACCGAAGCACTAAAGCAACAAGATACGGGCTACGGAAGTTGCAGGCCAGCAGGACAAGCCATCACGCTATGCACGAGGGCGGACAGCACGAGCTGTGAAGCCTGCATTCTCCAATGCTCATGCTATTTTGATGGTTGCTGCCATGCTGTGGCCCGAGCCATGGAAATATCCAAGACGGTGCTTTCCTTCCTGACGTACAAACAGAGTCACGCAGTATCTTCGCTGCTACATTGTTTCTACAACAAGCCTCAATGTCAACGGTGATGTCTGTCTTGACGTCTGCTTCCTGCTTCGGCCGGTCTTTCTTCGTCTCCCTGAATCGTGCCCAGTTAGGCTTCGGCAGATGAAGCACAGCAGCTTCTAGGGACGTGACACCTTCAAAAACTGTGGCGCAGGCTTGCGTTGGACCCCGTAGTCCCGGATGAAGTCATATACGTCGCCCGCACCTCTTGCAGCGGACGGCGCTCCTGACAAAGAGGGCTTGAGCTTGTTCAACACGGCTGGCAATGCTTCTTGCGACCCTTTAGCGGTTCCGGTGCAACCGGGGCAGCCTCAGGACAAACTGTCCAGTCTTTTTGGCTAGCCTCTTTACTCGCTTGATCAAGTCAAGTACCAAATTCTGGCGGGGGCAGAGCATGGCTTTACGATTCGGGGAGGCGCAGCCACAAGCTGCAGGCAACCCTCGATACTCAATGCAGGCATGGTTTCGCTGAAATTGCTGCTTGCGTGCTGACTGATCCTGAGATCCTGAAACGAGCCAAGGTCTCCCGCCGAGACGTTTCACAACCCAAAGCTGGGGCAACCCCAATGAGCCAGCCTGGCAGGCCTTCCAGCCCCGTTCCGAGCCCAGTTCCCGTCAGAAAAACTTCCAGAGCCGCCCAGCCGCGATGGGAATCTAATTTTTGTAAGACAAGTGGGACGCATTAGGAGCGTTCTAGCTGGGGCAGTGCCGAGTACCATAAAATGCGAGCCAACAAACAAGCATATTCTACCCCTTGTAGTGGGTCCAAGCACTGGCCCAGTCCTGCTTCTCTCAACAACTTCTCCGAGAGTCTTGCAAGACGTGCCCCTTCTTCCTGCAGAATGGAGTATGGCACAAACAGATTGAGGAAGAAGTGCAGGTGCCACTTCCAGCAAACACGCTGTTGCTGAGCACGCGCCTTGTTCTCATGAATCTTTGATTGCGCAACCAACAGAAGGTTTTCGCCTTCAATCCGCTTGTTACCAATCTCCTTGCAGGGTGTCTGGGTAAAGGCAAGAAGTATAACTCGTATGCAGTAAGCAGTCAATCCTTGCCGATGTCCACTGCAAGCTTCGCCCTTGCACGTGCCTCCGGCAGCAGTCGGCGAACTCTACATGGCTCATATCATCCCCCCGACACCACCCCTCACTAGTGTACGCTGTACACCAAAGCTGTTAGGGCTGCATTCTGGTACAAGCACAAGTAAGTTTTGCAGGAAATCGTGAGCCCTAAATGGAATGGGAAACCCATCTCCTCGGCAAGCAGAACTACTGAACCATAAAAGACGTGTCAAGCGGCGCGCCCTCGACTCCAATTTGGTGGCCAACCCGCGAATCTCCAGCAATCTTTGATAGAAGTTGCAATCTCTGCACTTCAAAATGAAATGGCAACCCTTCATCAGACTGACAAAGCCCAAAGCTTGAGCTCAACGGCGAACCTGAAACCCAACTACACACACAGGCAAATGGCAAGCAGACAATTCCGAAGCCTCTCGGTGCAAACAAGTGCTCTTAAGAGGAGTGCCACCCCAATGAGACCGCCCAAAGTCTCGTTACAAGTGAGCCCACTGGGTGAAGAAGTGCCTCGGCCGCGTTCCCGTAGTTCAGGAAGGCAGATGCCAGGCTCTTCAGCGTCTGCGCTTCCCCAACACGATCACCAACCTGGGGTAGCAAAGACCGATACATAAATTGAAAAACACTCACTACGTGATAGTGCTCTCTTACATGCTTGATACTCGCTGTGTTGTAGGAGCAGCACACTCTGAAGGATTGCTAAGGCTTCTTTGCCAGCTAATCGGGCTTTCCAGTTGATCTGCTGCTCCTCGCGGCGTGCTGCCATCATCGTGAACAAAATTATGTTCATGCTTCCAAAGTCCTGCTGATCACTGCGCGCTGTTGGCAGTTGAGCCACGTACGCGCTGGCGATAATGTTAAGGGTCGTTCCCAATTGCGTCCTGGAAGGTTTGAGGCCATGCGGCTGAAAGAACTCCACCCTTACTGTGGGTGCCTGAAGTTTTTCTCCCGGCAAATGGTCACGGCTTCCTCCGCAATTCGGAGAGCCTCCTCCTGCAAAGGCGCAGATAAAAGTGTGCCCGACGCTGCTGCCGCGAAACAATCTCTGCCGGGATGACACAAGCTCCGTTGTCCACGTGTGCCGATGCGATTTGGCACAACGTTGCAGCCTGCAGCTGGCACAGGCAAGTCAAACAACAGCGCGTCATCTTCTTGCTCGCCTCGCCGCTCTTGTGGCCTACTTCACGAAAGCATTCGAGGGCTTCCTTTGTATACTGCCAACCTTCGTATCCCGTTGCATGGAAAGCCAGAGCAATCGCAACAACCATCAAATAATTAGTTTGGCGGAACACACCCAAGGCACCAGCCGTCAATGTTGTCCTGTCCTGACTGCTGCTCACACATGGCTAGCTTCAAACTGTCTGACAGGCTCCAGCCTGCGAAGCAGATTTCAGCAAGCTGCTTCAAGGCGATGCCCTGCTCGAAGCAACGATGCCCACATGCACATCGAATGTACGACTTGCGGCACTTGCTGCCTAGGCATAGCACAGATACTGACTTTGTCTTCTTCATCAGCTTCAAGTATGTCATTCACATCCATAGTCCCAGTTGCGCTTTTATCATGCATCTTTGAAACTTTGGTTCGGCAATGTTGCCAGAACGCTGAGTGAGTGGTCAGACTGTGGCGCGTTCATGTGGCTGTCAAGATGCAGGCGATGACATCCCCTGCGTGTAGGAAAGAGCCCCAGCTTCTTCGACATGCAGGCGCCGCTAAAAGCACATGACATCCGTTGGAGAAGTCCAGAGCAGCTCCAAGTTGAGCAGAAACTCCCTTGTCACAACAGGCAACATGTGCCACCTTGCAAAAGCTTGCCAACTAATTTGGAAGCCTGTAAAACATTTGCAACAGCTTACAAAAGCAGATCAGATCACCTCCTTGCCCTGACAACCCGACCCTTCCCACAAATGCAAAACATGACCGACCAAGGATGGCAGCACGCTGCCTGCATCTGTCGGTCGTCAGTCTTCTCAAAGATAGCAACTGCTTGCTGAGCCTAGGTCCCAGCAAAGACACCGCACAGAAGCCCTAAATCGCGTGGACTGAGTTCTCTGCCATCTCCTGAGCCCCAGAATCTTCAGTGGCCTGTCCAGGGCTTGCGTCCGTGCAGCTGAGGACACCAAAGTTGCAGGGCAGCCTGCATGGTCTTTGCAACCAAGATAAGCAACCTGGACTCGGCATCGGAGCCGCTCCCTTGATAAAACGCCAGGGCCTCGCGTAGTCCAAAGGCTTCTCATCAAGGCAACCAGGCTGAGCATGCAATCGGGAATGCAGGAAGGGATTTGACCCTAAGTCTCTTGCCTCGTTTGCAGCTTTCAGTGCCTCGCTGCGCTTTTTCGCTGCTATACAGGCCTGCGCCACAACCTCCAGGGCCATTGCCTGGAGCCGAAAAGGCAGATCAAAGTGAGGATAAAGTTTGGGGAAGATGCAAAAGCTGCCTCGCCACTTTTTTCTCCACACTCCCTGAACAAAGCCACGGCTTGTCTCGCAACCTTCATCAAATTAAGCTGCAGACCGTTTGAGTCAAATAAAAGCTTCTGATTCTGCAGGCTGTAGGACTCTAGGCCTTGCCAGCCTCTTGCTTCTTTTCTCTGGCGAGGCAAACCTGACAAAATGAGAAAACACAACTCCAAAATTCGACAAAGAGCTCTTTGGGGGCCTGGGCGCGAGTTGTCAGTGCCGCCGCTTGCACGGACTTGCCCTTCTGCTGTGCCTTAAAACGAGTCAAAGAACAACTGCTACTTTAACGGAGAGTGAAGAAGCTACTGAAGTGGCTTAAGAGGTTTGTAAGTGACTGAGTTGTGTGCTAATGAGCTTGCAGCTTCTGCTTCTTGGTGGGCGTCATCATGTCGGAATCGAGCCAGGCACACCTCTCCAAGTTCATTGCGTTCATTGTGATTGCTTCCAATGTCCTGGCTTCACTATACTGCCTTGGCGGCCACGCAGTGAGCCATCACATCCGAGGAGTCCTTGGCCTTGCAGAGCAGACTGGAAGAGGACAGGGCGGTTTAAAACTACTGTGCTTGAGGGATCAGCTCCGCGAGCAGCTTCGACTCCCTGCTGGGCAGCCTGGCGGGTCAGCGCTGGCGATATGATTGCGTAGGGTACAGAGAATCGAGAAGAGTCCGCCTCTTCAGCTTTGAGAAACTCCCGAGCTAGCAAGTGAGCGCGAGCAATGGCATTATGGGCCGACGCCCTTCCAGTTGCATCCCGTGCTTTTTCCAGTGCCTGTCAGGATGTTATTACAAAAAGATGTCTGTTCTGCATGTTCAATCACGCCTCGTTTGCAATCTGAAGTGCTTTATCGGCTTCCTGTGCTAGCACAAAGTTCTTCCAAGCTGAATCTACAAACACGAGCCACACCTCCCTGAAAAAGCTCTGCCAAAAGCTTGATGCCCAGCTTGTTCGGCTTAGGCTTTCATCCTTGCGTGATTGCAGATCCGTTGCAGCCTTACTTGGATCACTTCCAAGCGTCCGGCAAACTCCATCACCACCATGCTTACAAGCAGCAGGGAGGTCCATCCTTTTCAGACCAATCTTTGCTGCAGCTTGAGTAAAATGAATCAGGATATGCAGCATGGTAGGAACGTGTTGCTTTTTGCAATAGAGCCGAACCACGCCAAAAATTTAGCAAATGAAAGCACCATGCACCGATGCGCGTTGATTTTGGACGCTGGCACATTTGGCTGCAGACGGAACTAGACGTGTCAAACTCCATTCAGAAGAGCCAACCTGTCTCATACGCACACACGCTGCTGCCCTTGACGACATGCGAGCACAATTCTTCTGCCTTGAGTCCTCTTCAAATTCTTTCACGGCGCCATGTCCTTTACAGAAAAGTTGAGTTGTCCCTCATGCCGACTCATGCCACCATCTATCGAACAACACGTTTGCTGGCTGTTGCTGGTGCAGCGCGACTTAGCTCTGCCGTTACAAATGCAGTTTGGACTGCATGTGGCACAGACTAACAAGATCTGAGGTTAGATAGACGGGACTGCCAAGCAAGTCCTACTGTGCTTCTACAAGAGCAGGTAATGTTTCTGCGCCAGTCACGACTTCAGGCGCCACTCCATTACTTCAAAATGAAGCAGCTTCAAACATCAGGCGAAGCGAGCCTATGCCGTTTACTGGCTGCCCGCCGAAACTCGAGCAGTTGTTATCAAAGAGTCTCGTCACGTACTTGAAGATGTTTGCAATCACAAGACAATCCCCCCTGGCAATTCACAGCAATGTGCAATTACTGTTCTTGCAAACTGGCTGGATGCCAGCAAGTTGGCTCAGTTGGTCTTTGGTCAAGCGCTAGGCAAAAACTAGTCTATAAGTCGCTTCCAGCTGGTGCGGGCGATGTCAGCTCAAAGTCTGCTAAACAAGCAACTTGGTGACTTCAAGATCTTCTTGGGAGGGAAAGTATCGAGCGGGGCACAAAAGTTTCAAGAAAACCTTCGCTCGACGATGTGCCCTTTAACATGTTTCACAACTTAGAGCCTCATAAGTTATCTTTTCCAATGAGCAGGACTGAGTGAAGGATAACGCACACTGCACACTTCGTGAGACGAAACAAAGCAATTACAGAATGCCGAGCACGGTGTATCCACGTGAGATAAATGCTGCACGCTGAGCATTACCTCGAGAGGCCGAAGCTTGGCGTGTTTTCAATTGCAAGGCGGCTGTCCCAGCATCACTTGACCTTTGACTTGCGCAAATGTTCAATAATGATCGGATCAAACATGCTCATGATTCCAAATGCTTCTCTGCAAGAGTCCATGACCGGTCTAACTTACGCCGTCCCGGCCGCCTAGAATGAACAGGTCTTAGGCGTAGGTTGTCAATTGTCAACATCAGAAGATACCTGGTTCATTGGGTCTTTTGGGCTGGCACATAGCACATGCCACGTGATTCTTAAAATTTATCTGACTGGACTCCTGTAGGCGGAAGCTTTCTTCAACAGCTGTTCCAGTGCGTGCTACCGTTATTTGCGTGGTTGTTTTCATCGCCTTTGTTCACTCCGGGCCTTTCATGCTGTTCTCAGATTCTGCTACCGAATTACATTGCACACGGGACTCTGTAGTCAGGCTTCTGGAACACACTGCTCCAGTCTTATAGGAACTGAAGCCCTGACAAAATCTGAAGGGATTAGCTGCAAGAGGTGCCGGATGCTCGAAGATACTCTCGAAGCCAAGCCCCCACTGGTCCCTACCTGCCCATGCCAAAGAGAAAGCCACCTTCAAGCCAGTTTCGTGCAGCAGTGTGTTAGCAAACCAAGCGCGTCCTGGACTTCGATTGCTGGCATCAGGCTCCTTGGCCGTCCCAGGCTCTACGTACCTCAAGACTTGTGCACAAAAAGCAACACATCACCAGCAACATGAAGCAGTCACATTTGAGCTTCTGCTGCTGGCCTGTAGATAGGGTCGCAGGATATGGCGAAATATGCCCGCGACCACACCTTACGATGTACGAAGCACGAAGCGCAGGTAGGGATGCTCACTGGGTTCTGAGATCATGCAAACTTTCTCGCAGGGGTCAAACGCTGATCATGCATGCTTTGGCTGCATCTCAGAATGCTGTACAGACCCTACGATCTAGAAGCATGATGCTGCACCAAAATCTGGGTTGCGCCAACCCTTGGTTTGCAGCTTCCTCTGCAAGCTTTGGCATGGAGACCCACGCGGTAAGGCTCTCTGAGGGCTGGACAACTGTCACCGGCCAGATCAGACAGCAAGCCAGCAAAAGAAGAATACGAATCAGCTTCTCAACCACCCAGCGCCACCCGGTGAGCGCTTGCCATGACGCCGCTGCTGACAGCGCGGGCTCCAAGAGGCGCCTTGCGGGACTTGAACCCAGCCGAACAACTGTGCGAACATCATAAGATCATAAGAGAGCGTACAAGCCAAGAAAGATCGTCAGCTATGCCCAGAGTGCAAGTCTCCTCTGGATCTCGCTTGGAAAATCCAGGGTCCGAAAATAGTCGCCCATCTTTGAAAGGTCGGGCTCGACAGAAGCTTTGGCACCTGGACAACTTTGCCAAGCTTCTGACGGGGGCCTGCTTGCGACACGAGAAAAGCACCGCCTCCGGCCACAATTGCAGAGAGCCGATCACGAGCTTCTTCACTCGAATCGAAGTTGACTAGGTACGAATTCTCGTTATCCTTGCAGTTGCTACACTCTGACAAAGATCTGTTCACTTCAAGGAAGACATGTCTCGTCCTATGCTTCCCCCTTCCTGCCTTCACAAATTCTAGGTGCCCTCCAACAGGATGGACCGCCACTGGAATGCCAGCACTCCATGCCTAGGCCGCACGCACGAACAGCATCCAGCCGCCAAGAGTCGGACGGTTTCATGCCCGTCAGCCTCAACGATCGTGTTCCCCAGCGTCTCGCATGTACTTGCAGAAACGAAGAGATCACTGGCAGCGTAGGCTATGCGCAGATCTTCTGCACCAAGCATGCCTTCGGGCTTCGCTGCGTAGCCATTTGATGACTTGGTTTAAAGGCGCAAACACCCGTCTTCTCTTGCTTGCACGAGTTATCCACAAAATGCGCACAAGAGCTCATGGTACATACTTTGCTACCATTTGCCCACAAGCTCGAGTCAAACCCCCAGGCCTCGCTTCGGCAAGACGTTGTGCCGCGTGCTCGCCTAAGGAACAAATAAATTTCTGACTAAACGCTTCCATGTCTGCCTTAAACATATCAACCGGTCTGGGCTGGCTGCTTCAATCTGATCTGCATAGTCGGCATCGCTGTCACCCACTATGATTAGGGCACATTCCTGTGGGATCGCATCATGTAACAAGTGGATCCGCTTCTCCGCCGACCATCTGCCAGCAAATAAGAATATCGCCTTTGGCTCGAAGCCCAACTCTTGAATCCAGCATGCACGTTTGCTCAACGCAGCTTCCTCTATGTCGTGCAGGGGCCGGCGAAATGCGTCGGACCAAAGAACAGGAGGCCACACAGCATCCACAGGTATCCTGTAGCGTTCCCACAGTGAGTTGGCATACACGTGCGCCACTGACGCGTGAAGCGTCGCAAAATATGCGGATGCCAAATGTAGCCACCAGAGAATTTTCAGCATAATAAACTGTTGGTACACCGGATGAGAAGGGACGTCTGAGTGGGTCGAGGCTATGCCAGGAATTCCCAGGCCCCTCATTAGCATCAATGGTGCTATTCGCATGCAGCTATCATCGATGAAGCATAGTGCGTGACCTGACAAGAAGCGTGCAGTGTCTAAATGGATGCTGCGCCGCAAGCTCGAGGAAACATCTTTCACTTACACAACAAACTAGAGAACAGGCTACGACGTGAGCTTTACCACCGCTGCATCTCCACTGTTTTCTTCCTGCAGTATGGTATGCCCTGGCTAAAGGCCTCTGGGGAGACCTGAAGCATGGCCGCGCATGCAACAAGCATGTGAACAAATCACATCTGCTCAGAGAGGCCGGAAACAGGCGCATGCAACAGTTTCGTTCGACCACGCCCAGGCTCTCGGGTGCTGAAGCTAGTTCCAAAGCTGGCATACATGCAGGCTCTCAGTTTGCCACATGTTCCTGCAATGGACTGCCCCCAAACAACCCACCCTGATTGCTGGAGTACTGCTTCGTCTTGCAGCGCTTCGAATTCTGAGAAATAAACACCTCATCTTGTGCCTGGTTCTGACGGGTGGGAGGCGGTTTGGGGTTAGGGCTTGGGGTTTAGGGTTTAGGGCCCGAAACTCCACACAACCCCAAACCTGACTGCAAACCCTAAACAACCCCAAACCCTACGCCCTGAGCAACCCCAAACCTTACACCCCAAACAGGCCCTAAACCCTCAACGAGCCCAAACCCTAAACCCCTAAACGGGCAACAGCCCCTAAACCCTGAACAACTCCACATATTAAACCCTAAATAAACCCCAAATCCTGTCTGCATACCCGAAACCCTAACCAGCCATGCTTGAGTCCCAAACAACTCCTAAACCCCAAACCAGCCCAAACCCTAAATACCCTAAACCCCAAATCCTAAACAAACCCAAGCCCTAAATCCTAAACAACTCCACGCCTTGAAGCCATCATCAACCCCAAAACCCGAAACAACCCTGAACCTTGAACCCTAAAATAACCCAAGCTCCAAGACCTCAAACAACCCCAAACCCTTAACCTGGACCGATCCAGAGCCTAGGGCCCTAGGGCATTGGGAGGCTTGGGACTAGAGGCCGGGGATCACGAGCTGGCTCGTGCGGCGACTGGAGGATCAACTTTGCTATTAAGGTGGCACATGCTGGCTTCAGCCCGCCTCCATTTAGCAGCTCCCACACCAGCCGGCATGTGTTGTGGACAGAGAAGAAGTCCATTAAAACGGCCACCCCAAGTGCATTTGAAGCCTGTAGAGCCCAGACTGGAACATGGACGAGTTGACCACTTGTCAGCCACCGCCTCAGAATCGCACATCGTAAGGAGGTTCTTTGTGATATCACACCTTATACCCTTTTACCTAGCAAACATAAAATGAGCGGGTCGAGTTGCTCCACGTCTGCCTCACCCGACTCTGCGATGCTCACCGGAGAAAGCAAGGTCACTTGCCATCCGAGACCATCGATCAATGCTCTGCAGAGTGCTAGGTAATCCTTTGCTACGCCACCAGCCTGCCAAGCAAAAGTCTCAGGGCAAGCATTTGCGAATCCAAACGAACTCGACAGCTGGTTGGAGGTTGCACGTGCGTTCTACAGGCCTGCTTCAGCAGTGGCGGAAAAGCTTGTGCACAGATCAATGCACGCCGCATGGCAGCAACTAGAACCAAAAGAGTGCGTAGGTTGAGGTTTGTGCTTGTTGTCTTTTCTACCGAAGCATCTGCTTCCACCCCGATTAAAGCAGCAGCTGGTGTAGTCTCAAAGAGCCACTGACGCGTACGTCCATGTTACAGGTCGGTAGTGAGGTAGGTTGTCAGTAGGGTCAGGCGTGATGAATCTGGTTACAGTTGCTCTTAGTACTGGTCTTCTTGGTGCTCGTGAGCTACAACCCGCCAACTAGATGACTCATGTCTTGAGGGTCACTAGTTGAAAAGCCTTGGATAAAGCTTCGTAACGTGTCGAGGTGTCTGTCACAGCCCTCCAATGAATTGCCAACAGTAACAAGGAGCGGCATGCTCGTTAAGCCCTCTGCCGTGCAATATGAGAATAAACACAAATTTCACTCCGCGGGGAGGTCTTCAGCTTGAACGTGTACGCATACCTGGTTAATCCAGCTCTCGCTGTGTACTTTGTACACAGAGCGGCTCACCAGGTCAAAGACCTCTGCGCGAAGGCCAAAGGTCGGTTTAAATGGACACAGCCTGACCAGTTCCGAAGTAGTCCACACTGACTCTAGAGCTTGCACCTCGGGGCAAAGGTTGGTTTCCAAAATCTCCGGACATGTCACCCCTTCCACTGGTTTATTCATATTGCAAAGGCCATCCGATGACAATTTGAGGCCCCAGAGTCCTTGTAGTCCTGCAACGTCCGAAACAAAAACAAACAGGCCAAGATTTCAGACAGCGTAAGCATATCTCCCCTTTGATCAGCATCCGCGTCCCTGATGTTCTGGTATGGTGCTGCATGTGTGGAACCACGGCATCTTCTGGAAAACGATAGCGTCTGGCTAATGGTATCCGAGCCTTTGAAATCAAGCGCTGCACAAAGGCGCTGGGTCCTCTCGGAGCGCTAAATCAACCTACCTTCATCCTTCACACCTTCTGCAGCTTCTCAACTGCATTCCATGTTCAGTCTTGCTAAGCACAAGACGTTCCCAATGCAAATGGTTGACTTGCTGGCCACCCCATTAGTAAACCATCTCCTCGAAAATCCTATATACCCTTGTTGTTCCATATCACACACGGCTGCAGATGGCTGCCTTGCCACCAGATATTGCTTCCAATCAGATCTCTCACATGGTCCACTGAGCGAAGAAATCGTTGCCTGGGTCCCGTTCGACTGAGGCCGCATTGTGTCATGCATGGAAGCACACACAGTATCAGCACGCTACCCTTATCGTCAACCAGGATGAAAGCAGGAAAGTTCTCAACCTGGCCGTGCTCGACCAAACGTCACACTGTACACACATTGCTGAAAACACTCTGCCTCAATTTTCCAAACAGCTTCCATGCCAAGCTCGGGGAACTCCAGAACCTCTTCGCACAGTTGACAGCTAAAAGCAGATTAAGTTCCACAAAATACTTTACGAAATGTGATTGAGGTTTGCCTCTATCTTCTTGATGCAGTCTTCGGCCAACACCTGAATTGCATGAAGAGCTGCTGCACGAAGAGATAAGCGGACCCGTTTCAGCTGCGCAGCCAGCTCTTCTGAGAACGCAGCTGCAGCAGCACCACCAACACTGCCCAAGTAAAAGCCACCGTACTGTTGGCAAGAGTCTGTCACCTCTCCACACCGCGTGCTTTGCAACGGGATCCAGCCGACATGCGAGGAAAGCAAGTCGTGCCTGTTTCGAGCGATTACCCTTTGCCAGCGTAACCTTTTCAAAGGGATCAAAGATTGATAGGTATGTTTATTTGTTTTGGTGTTTCCTTCGCAGCATTTGGAACTCTTGAAAGGCTGCCAATACTGCAATTTACAACAGTCATGGCTCTTGAAAGGCTATGGAAACTGCAAATTGCAGCATTTGGAGCTCTTGGAAACCTGCCAACACTGCAAGTTACAACATTCGCGACTCTGGACAAATTACGAACACAGCAAATTGCAGCATTTAGAACTCTTGAAAGACTGCCAATACTGCAAGGTACCACATTTGCGGCTCTTGAAAGGTTACGAATACTGCAGTTGCACCCTTTAGGGTTAAGGTTTTAAGCTTTTTGGGGTTTGGTGTTTGTAGGTTTAGGGTTCTGAGTCCTGAGGGCTTAGGGGATTTAAGCCTTTATGCGTTTTAATGTTTTTGAGGTTTTGTGCTTTTAATGGTTTTTAAGGCTTAGTGCGTGGAAGATACCAGAGAAGATTAGCGTGGACCCTGCGCAAAGCACCGACAGGCTGTTTTTTCTCGAAGAAAAGGACCAGGTCCGCTTCTTGTGTTGTCCAGGGATCAGGTGGGGTTGGGCTTTACTTAGTCTCCAAAGATTTAGATTCCTAAGAGGGGCTATAACCTCACGTAGGTTAGCAGCCGTAGAAGGCTTTTAACTAGCTGAGCTTGAGACTATCCTAGCTAGCCTGGGGTTCAGTTAAGGGTTGAGGACCTGTAGTTGCTGCGCTGCCATGGATCCTATGATGAGAGGGCGCGGTGGAGGGCTGATTGCAGGCGACCCTGAGGCAGCAGATGCTGCCTTGGGTCAATCTACAGAAGAACCAGAGCATGCTGGAGTCTGGCAAGGCGAGGCCTCGCCGGGCACCTAGAACAAGGTCGCGCGCAGGGCGTGATGGCGAGCCCATTCCCTTCTGAAAGGGTGCAAGTTGAAGCTGAGCTTTTGCGACGGTGTCCGCCAACATTGGATGAGGATGCTCAAAGAGTTGTGACAGCATTCGATGAATCCGGGTTATCCTGGTTTGGATTTGAGTTCGTGGGAACCTCCTTACGCTCATGAGAATTCGGACTTGGATAGCATTGCAAGAGTCGCCAGATTGGAAAGGAGAGCCGAGGATACTCAGCAGCCAGAGCAACATCACAGGAGGCAGGCGCCTTTTGGAGGATCGTGTGCTGGTGAAGTGAGAAATCAGCCTTTGGGTGAGCCATTATCCTTTGGACCTACTTTGGATCCAGCGGGTAATTCCGGTGATATTCAGGGTCAAATGATGGGACGGTTTTTGCCAGTGGAGCAGAAATCAGTGTCGGGTACAGCGCAGGCCGAGTCTGAAAGGCGTGATCAACTGAGTGACTCTGGTGGGGTTGCGACGGGTGTTCCGGTGAGGCCGCTTCGTGAGGACAATCGTGAGTTGATACCTGCGTTCGCTTCAAATCCACAGCTGGAGGCTACGCTGGTGAGGGCTTTGGAAGGGAACCGTGCGTTGAAAGGAAGGCTTGAGCAGTTTGAAACTCCTAGTTGGCATAGTGGCCGATCTCCCACTACACCTCAGAACTCAGGACCTGTTCATGAATCTCCGGCGTCTTTGATGCATCCTAGTGTAGGTCCAGAGATGGCTTACTCAAGAGCCAGCCCTGCACAGATGTTTTCCAGCGTGGTCCACGCAAGGGGCGGGGTTTTAGCAGAGTTTATTCCGGGCTCTCGGACTCTAGGGTTACGGGTACCTGTTCCAAAGGGGGCCGTGGATAAGGCTTATGCAGTTTTGGGTTTATACGCTTATGGGGGTTTGAAGGGGGTCACTCGTTTTGCCCAAAGAAACGCGGATCTCACTAGGTACCTGAATGGCTTTGTGAAGGCGTATCATCCTCAGGGTAGTGGGTCAACGCTTTTTTGGCTCGTGACACCTCTATGCCGGTTCATAGAGACACCCAAAACCTTATGGGAATTCCCACATGGATTGTAGGTCTTGGGGATTTCATGGGGGGTGATTTATGGGTTGATAGTGGTACTAGCGAAGGTTCTGTGCTTAAGCGGTTGCCGGATGGCAGGGTTGCTTCTTGACATGTTCTTCCTATTAAGGAGCAGCCTCAGATGTTTGATAGCAACGCGTGGCACGAGGTAGAATCTTGGGTAGGCCAAGATGGTTGGGTCTTGGCTGCGTACGTTCCTCGAGGCTACGACGCAGCCATCAGCCATGGGAGAATGTTTTGAGTCTTTGAAGGTCTTGGGCTTCCCAGTTGGGGGGTTGCTAACTGACCAATATGAGGAACGCCAAAAGGAAGGTAGAGTCGGATTCGATTTCCAAGTTTAATGCTTGCCCGGTATCGTTTACTGAAGGCAAAGCTGTACACACAAATCAGCAGTGTCCTGATGAAGGGGTAGTAGAATCTTGGTAGGCTGAGTTCCCGCATGAGCTTTGGAATGATCACGACGCAGGTGTGTTCTTGCATCAGGCTTGTCTTGACTTTAGCCTTCGGATTGCTCAGGAGTTGCAGTCTGCAGTTGAGCAAGGTCACGGAAGTGAGATTGCAGGGTTGCTTCGAGTTGCAAGGTTAGAGGTTTCATGGCAGGAAGTTGTTCTTGAGCTTAGCCAACGAGCCATGGAAACTTGTGTGAGTGTGCGCTTGTTTCACAAGAACAGTTATGTCTTTTTACAGTCGTGATGGCCGTCAGTAAATTTGATCCTTCTGCTTTGAGTCTACGGACCGGGGAGGATCCTTGATAGGAGCCGTGGGATGTACAAATTGTACAGCAGTAGCCGGGCCTTGAGCTTGTCCCAACAAGGTCGCAAGCAGGAGCTAGCTGGATCTTGCTGCGTGGACAATGGAAAGTGAAAGTGAAAGTGCGCTTGTTGAACACCACTGTGCCTCTGGCTTCGCATGGAATTGAGCCCGATGAGCTTTTTCTACAAACTAGTATCATTCCTCTTGATCAAGTTCGAAGGGAGCTTCCGTTATGGGAACCGCCTGCCCGTGAAGAGGTCGACAATCTTGAAAATGTTACGCAAGTGGTGGAGCGAGTGACAACGACAACTCGCGACATCGAGGACTGGACCTCGCAGGGATACAAGATTTTCCAGATCCCCGGAAAAGCAGTTACAAGCTGCAAGAACGGAACAGGGAGAAGAAAGTTCAGGGCGGTCGCCTGTGGGAATTATCTCGAGAGTCAAGCTCCCTCCTCGACTGCAGGTGACAGTGTGTACGCTTCAGGCGTGGACTCATCCACCGTCAGATTATAGCGATTGCCCAGGCGGCTAGGCGTTCCGATTGGGTTGACGCGCCTTCCTCCACGCCCCTCGCTGACAGACAAACGCAGGGGAACTTTGGGTCATTCGCCCTCCGTACATACTCGTCGAGCTGGGTGCGCTGAAAGCCTTGGACCGCTGGAAGATCAAGAAAGCTATCTACGGGATGCGCTCCTCGCCCTGTGACTGGCCGGTTCATAGGGACTCTGTTCTGCGTGACATGTTGATCGACTGGGAGGGGAAGACCTTTCTGCTCACACAAGCGCAGTCAGATGAGTCTTTGTGGTTTATCAAACAGAAGGGCAGGGGCCCTATCGCTGGAACCATCGTTATTTATGTTGATGACCTCAGTATCTTTGCGATTCGAGCGTTGTGCTCAGCTGTTTTGGACGCCAATAAGAAAATTTGGCAGTTGAGTGAATTGAGGGCGCGGTTCCAGTCAAGTTCTGCGTTTGGAGAGTCTTCGTTTTGGTTCGGGACACCGAGTGAATCAACAAAATTCTATCGCAGAGCTCCTCACCAAGTACGGGGTGAGTGATGAGGCTGCAGCACCGGCAGCACTGCTTGATCGTTGGACAGAACCAGAGACGTTGGAACAGCCATCTCCGGATGAGGTGAAATCCGCCCAGGCGGTAATGGGCGTCTTGTTGTGGTCATCAACGCAGAGCAGGCCCATATTGCATACTCAGTGGCGCGTATGGCGCAGTTCGCAACCAGGGCCCCGCAACTAGTAACTACTCCTTTCAATAGGAAATCAGGTTCTGCGGTATCTGCGAGGAACAGCCACATTGGCGTTGGAATTTCACGAGACGATTCAGCGCGTGTGGGCGATCCATGGTCAACTGCCGAGGCTTCGAGATGACCATCTTTTGGAGTTGTATTCGGACGCGAGCCATGGTCCGCAAGGAGGTCGTTCCACGCAATCTTCCACAGTACTATGTCGCGGAGGCCTTATCCTATGGGAGGCCACCCGTCAGCCCTTCGTGACACTCTCATCGGCCGAGAGTGTGGTCTCGTCTCGCTAGTAAATACGATAAGCCAAGGCAAAGCTATGCAAGTGGTGGTGGAAGAGCTCCTTGAAATTCCGTTCATTTGGCACTGTTGGGCGACAACGCGGCTTCTGTTCGATCTTTCGAGATCGCGGACGCTAGCTGGAGGAACCGCAATCCAAGGTTGCGCGCCGCCTCAGGACGTGAAAAGGTCGATGCTGGCCGCCCAACCTTAGCTCACCTCCCTGGAGAGTATCAAGTTGCAGACTTGCAGACATCGGCACCAAACCCTTAAGTAGGTCTAGAATCCTCCAACTTCTTGGGCTTGCTAACGTTCGGCTGAGTCCTGGTTGAAGAACCAGTTGCTTAGAGGGCTTTGAGGCGGTTAGCCTGGGTTGGGGGCTCAGCCAGTAGCGTCAAAAGATCTATGGAACCTGTTTGGCTGGGGATTTGGTGTATTGCTAGTCGTGGTTCTGTTGGTCAGTTCTGGGATGCTTTGGACGCTGGTTCCTTCAGGGGTGGACACTGCTGACAGGTTAGAAGTGCTGTTGGACTCTCAGTTAGAATTTCCTGAAGGACATCAATCCCCCGACCCCCTTACAGAAACGGAGGAAAGAACGGGCCTTACGCTAATCCAAAGATCTCTCTGTTTCGGCAGTTGGAGTCTGGTGGTATTGTAGATCCTCCAGTTATGCGGCAGCGGTTCGGTTCCCTTGCAATTGGGTTTGGAACGTCAGTTGAGGGTTCGGATTCCGTAGGGAGTACTCAGGTTCAGGAAGGGGGAGCACAAGCTGTGTCAATCAATCACAGCTTCCTCAGCCTAACATCCAGGTTGGGGGGAGCACTTCAAGTAATGCCCTTCGCGCGCTACTTCAAGTTCTGCATCAGGGTGTTGAAGTAGACGTTGGGGATCGTCTGGGTCCTCAGGAGGGTTTAAGTTCTGTTGCTGATCTGCAGGAGAGCGAGGACAGTGTTTGCGTTGGAGCTAGTGTAAAACGTTTAGTGTAAAACGTTCCCCTCATCGTATCATCACTGGCACTGTTTGAGGTAGTCCCTGGTGATTTCGACGCAGGTTCCCTAGAAGAATTCAGTAGGTTCATCGTTGCCACTCGGGGGCGAAGGATCTGCTGGAAAGCTAGGGATGAAAGAGGCAACTTTCTGCGAAAGCTGTGGACGGTGTCCGGGGGTTGTGCTTAGCTTTCTGGGCGGGGAAGCGCGAGAAATTTTCAGGTTATATAGGGTTGCACGAACGTATCAGTACGGGGTTGAATCCGCAGCTGAAGCCTGGAGACGCTCGTTGCTGCCAGATGCCAGTCACACGTGTATTCAAGGTGCTCCTGTTGAGGATTTCGATCTTGACGATAACTCCGATATAGATAGGATCCCCCATAGGTTCCCCGAAGATGATGGCGCAGGAGTAGGTATCGCGCAGCAGGTGTTGTTCCACAACTCTGACGACAGCAACTCAGAAGATTCGGGCACTCCTACCGCTTAGCCTCTCTCCAGCTCATCAGCTAGTCTCACTGGTTCGGCTTCAAAGGGTGAAACTCATGAAGAAATTGAAGTGAGCGAGCTGGACCCTACCGCCCCGCTTAGTTACGAAGCTATAGAGGGAGCCCTGTTGGTACGATATCTCTGTCTGGATGGTCTCTGAGAGCGATCCAAGCTGTAGCAAACGGTTTGAATCAAAGGCCACTTAGATAGGGAACTCGTGGATAGCATCTATAGCTCCCCGGACCATGTACCCCAAGGGCCCGAAGGGACTGCTGTACAAGATGTGGATGCTGTCAACGTAGCAGAGTCCTTTGGGATGGGCTTGTTGATCATTGAGGGCGTGCGTTGGACTTTAGGTGGGTAGTGGCTCTGGCGTGGCTGTGGGCCGTGAGGCGACGCATAGGCAATCTGCAATCAGCTACCTCCTGGAGCCAAGTACCAGTATCCCTCGGTACGCAAGGCTCAGCACCAGCAGCAAGTGATTTTTCAAGCAATGTTGCAGCGTCTGTAACCCAACCTTATCGCGTCCTTTGGCTAGTGTTGGCTATAATTTTGGTGCTAGCTACTCCAAGTAGGGCCCATTCCGGGGAACTGGTACTCTCGTCTTCGGCAGTAGTGCGCCTACCAGGTGAAGTCTGCGACCCCACGGAAAGCTATAAGGCCGAGGAAGGATCAACTTGGTGGTTATTGGCCCTATGGTGCTTAGGAATAATTGTCATCTGGGAAGCCTGCAAGTGGACCGTGCATAGGACGTTTCTTCGCAAAACGGCACAAACAGCCGCGAGCCAGCTAATAAATAGAATTTCAGCTACCGGATGGGGTCCCAAATCGCGCAAGGATTCTGTTCAGTTTATGGATGGCAGGCTTCAGTACGGAGATTTTGGCACATCCGGAGGATGTCCAAGATGAATTCGATGGTCTAGTAGGAGCCTGCCTTTTGAAACAAGCTCGGGATGAGGACGTGTCTGATGAAGAAGATACTTCAGATTTTCTTGCCTACCTTGGACAGTCAAGGTAGCTGAAGCATTCAGGAAGTTATGTTGAGGGTCCCTCGGGCAGTGCAACCTTTCACGCTGAAGTTGACCTTTATTCTGGCTGGTGTTTTTTGCGACCACTGGGGGTCATGTGGTCCAATCTCATACAATCATTTATGTGCAGATGGCACTCCATGCTCAATTTGGGCGAGGGAGTATGACGTCGTCGCCCCTCCGTAAAAATTACCTACCCTGGAGGGGTAATGTCCTGAGGATCGTAGGCAACAACCCACTTCATGCTGAGTACAGAGAGTAGTTTGTAGCTTGTTGAAAGGGCATGCCTTTAAGAGGCTTTTGCCTGAAGCACAGAAGAAGCTGAAGAACTTTTTGCTCTAAAATGATAATGTGCGTCCCTTGGGTTCGGCTTCTTCTTAGGTCGCTTGTCTTTTCCAAGATCTTTTCTCGACCGAGAGAAAGACTCAGCCAATGGGGAGTGCGTGGAAGATACCAGAGAAGATTGGACCCTGCGCAAAGGACGACCACACCGACAGGCTGTTTTTTCTCGAACAAAATGACCGCTTCTAGGGTTGTTCAGGGATTAGATGGGGTTGGGCTCTACCTAGTCTCATAAGATTTTGATTCTTAAAAGGGGCTAGAACCTCACGTACTTAGGGCTTTTGAGGTTCGTAGGGTTTGGAATTTTGAGGGTTTAGAAGCCGCAAAGATTGTAATTTGCAGTATTGGCAGCCTTTCAAGAGCTCCAAATGCTGCAATTTGCCGTTTTCGTACGTAGCCTTTCAAGAGCCGCAAATGTTCCAATTTGCAGTAATTTGCGGTATTGGCAGCTTTCAAGAGCTCCAAATGCTGTTATTTGCAATATTCGTAGCCTGTCAAGAGCCTCAACTGTTGCAAATTGCAGTATCGGCAGCCTTTCGAGACCGTTCAAGAGCCGCAAATGTTGTAATTTGCAATTTTGGCAGCCTCTCAAAGGCTCCAAATGCTGCAATTTGCAATATATAGGACAAAAAAACACAAAAAAACAAAAAAGATGCCTAAAAAAATAGGATTCCTTTTCAAAGGTACCCTGATCGACTTGGGCATCGGCCAGTGATCCTCCGTGCGGCTGCCACATGGGAACATATGTGTCCATGCCTCAGGCCCAGCTCACAGACGGCACAAGTTGCGTTCCCAAAGGTGACAACGCGCTCTTCAGATTTCTGTGTTCCTGAACTCACAGCTGCAAAAATGTTGTGGTACACACGCGCCGCCTAAAACAGATGATGTGTTGTAAAGCGTGGCTCATATTCGCCTGTAATCTTTCCCAGGTGCTTGTGCGTCGAGACCCGTTTTATGATATGTCAGTTGAATTTGTCAAGGCTGAGCATCAAGACCCTGACGCATCACCGATGGGCCAACATTCCAACAAACCATTTGTGTCCCAAAGCAGCCATGATCGTGTATCTGCACGGCATATACTTCAAGGCGCACATGAAAAGATGGAGATCCAGACCAGCCAGACATTCCACCATGGTACAAAACGAAGCTGAAAAGTTGGACAGTCTGCCACTTCATACGGCATTCTCACTTGAAATCCCTGGATTCAATCGAATTTTCTTCGGCAGGTCAACCCTTGAATCCCCTTAAAGAGGCTCATATCCCATGAAAATTCGCCATTGAGCCATGGCTTTAACTCCACTCTGGGCTTTGAACGGCCAGCTGTGGTTGGCCCGAAAGAACCGGATGCATAGCCAGCGGGTGTCCTAGCAACAGAATAAGAAGCATTTCTCACAACTTGCAAAATCCCAGTTTCAATCACATCCGAGTACGCCGCTTTGCTGGACCAGCATAATAGATAGGATGGTCCTGCAACGAACAAAGTCGAGAGCTGCAAACCTTACACTGCTATCCCGTCCTTGACGTATTGCGGTAGAGCTCCTGTCTGTTCAAAGATCTCGCTGATCTTGGCATGCGCAATGTCCCGAGCTACGATGAGTGGACCTTGCTCAGAAACCAAATGATATACATGCTTGCAGGTGCGTCTGTTTCGGCAACCAAGTGCGCAGCCAGTTAGCGACACCCGCGTCTTGATCGGGTACCTTCAGTCATGCGCAGTGCCTGACTTATTGCTATGACTCACGGTGCGAAACATCCAGATCTTGAATGACGTGAATCGGATGCATAATATCAAGTGAGGGACTTCGTCAGGACGGCAAGAATGTCGCTCATGGGCTGCTGCAAGTTGATGGACACCACCTGACACATCAGTTGTTTGCGGCTAGCCGGCCCCTGTACAATCAATTGCCCTTGAGGCCACACCTGCTCGGATAGCCCTGTCACAGGCCCATCTGGAAGATATTGGGCCTAGTAGACAAAGCAGTAGCAGGCTGACAGAGCAATATGGCTGTCTGTCCAAGATACGGGATTGTGCTCAAGCTCTTCCACAAAAACGCCTTCAGGTGTTATCTGGGCAAGAATCCTGGCCGAAATGGACCCTCATTCTGCATGTCTCGTTTAATTAAGCCAAAGTAGATCTCACGAGAGCTTCACCGTTTGCAACATTGTGGGGAGAACAAGGAATGCGCCGCAATGCCCATTGGCGAACTGGAATGTTCAGCTAAACAGACAAGTGATGAAGAGGCTTGCAGGATGCGTTGGCTTCTGTGGGAATGTCAGCGGGAAGCCTCACCTTGGGGGTTCTCAAGCGCTGCCAGAACTCATACCGCCGTGCTCTTCGCTCGTCCTCTTATCGGCTTGGAACTGGTGCAGACTGTGGCTTCTTCCTCCAGCCTGCTGTTGGTCTTAATCGTCAAGCCTTGTCATAGATAGCTAGAGACCCGAGATGCTTGCTACAGTTACAGCGTTGAGGCCCAGCACGTTGAAAAACCATAATCGTGGCAGGCAGGCTGGCGATCTGCGCTGCATGACACCCCCAGGCCCACAGGGCAGGACGCTCCATGCCTGCGAAAGGAAGTTCTCATTTTCTTCTGCCTCTGCCACCCTGTTCAGATGTTTTGGCCCAACTAAGACCTCCAGTGTTGCAGCGGGCTTGCTAAACAGAGTTTTACATGCTCAGCCGCACTCTATATCACAGGGTGCGCGGGCAAAGATTGAAACAACCTTGGGTCTTCAGCTCAGTGCTGCTCCCACATTCTTGAGATGTGCTCCTGCAACATGTTGAACTTTGGAGCAGCTAGTTACAGTTCGTACTTCGTTTTGCGGCTCAATGGTTGTGCAGACGTAAAATTGATCGGGCCAGGTCGGAAGGCTGGGTGGAAGGCTTTGGGGTTCTCGGCCCTTTCTGACTGAGACCTTCAGTTTAAGCACTCTGACCCAAGATCCTTGACCGCCTTAGTGTGACTAAAGTCGTTGAACAAAACTTGCTACGGCACCAGGTATGTCACCCTCAAGGAGTGGGCGCAACCTGATGGCAATCCCATGTTCTTGGACGATTGAAGTTGCTATCTGCTTGTGTCTGTGTAAGAACTCCCACTATCACAGCGGTTGGCTTGCAAAATCAAAGTGATGAGCCTTGGGAGTCGAACAACTCTTGCCTGAGTTTGCAAAGAGAAAACAGCATGAGACAATTGCAGCAGTTGCAGATCTCCGGGGACAAGGCATCGTGAGCAAAGTATTTGCCGCCAAACTGAGCACCAACTCCCAGGTCTTGGCATATCTTCAGAACCTTCTCCTTTCGCAAAGTATGCTGGGTCCCATGGGTGCTTTTATTTCAGCGAGTGCCTCCCACTCGAGATCACGGAAGGCCCGGCCACCGTCGCTGCCAGATGTTGGTAAATCATCATAATACCTTTTGCATGCAACTTCAGAAACAGGCAGTGAGAGCGTCGCCTGCTGTGCCTGGCGCTTGCGAGCTTGACAGTCTTCAAGCATGTCTCGGCCTTGGGTTGCAGGATATCACAGACTCAGACTTATGCACTGTCGTTGTGTCTGTCTCTTGTAAGCGTTTCTGACTGAATCTCAAAGACAAGCTGCGGAGGTACCTCCAATGACCAGTGCCACGTGGTACGGCGGGCAGGCGCTGGTGCCGAGGGTCTGCCTTGATTCTCTAGAAGGCCACTTGCTGGCTGCGCATCAGCGGAGCAGTTCATACTGACTCCCGGACAGTTTCTCTCTGATGAATGCTTCCAGTTTTTTGGGGTTGAGGAGAGCCTCCATACAACACTGAACAATGCCGCTTCCACTCAGCTCTGTCCAATGCCTTCGTCTGCTGGTACAAATAGGTCTTGTTCGCGGATCCACCGCCCTTGGCCATAAACAGAAACCTGAATGCAGAATGCAGGCTGCGGTGTGAGAAATTGAGGAATTGCTTTTGCCGGCATCGTGGATAGGAAGCCTCAAACTCAGAGCGTGGCTCATAGGATGAGCTGGGCGTCGCCAGGATGTCAATTTGAGCAGGCAAGTTGCACCTTGCGGTCGGGGGCAAGCTAGGCCACGGTCAGAGACAATCCGCAGAGGCCCCAGGCCTCTTGGGCGGGAAGACTCTAGCCACCAGACTCTACCCATCTCCCTCCCTTTCACCCAACACACCCCCAGCGTCCAACCAGTTTTTTCGGCCTCAGTCCACGGAAGGCCTGGGGTCCGGCTGCAAGCTCGGTCGTTCCGGCCATGGGCTGGTTCCTAGGAGCAATTTTCCCAAATCCCAGCTCGCCTGCCGTTTCTCCATGCTAGCCCTCAACCAAGATCTCAACCCCCCCGAGCGTTTCTGACCCAGCATTTTTGAGCGAGCGGAGGCGGAAGCAAAAAAAGAGGGAGCCCAACTGGTATAAAGGATACTTCTGCTGCACAGTAAACAGCTGCAGCACACATACATATCAGGCACGCATTGCAAACAACAACCCTTGCACAAATGAAACATGTAGCATACGATGGTCTGCCCTGAGTCCCACTTCGATGCTGCCCCTTGCCCCACCGCGGGGACTCTCTCAGGCCTGGGGTTGTTGCAAGTTTGTCTGTTGTTTGTCTCTCCCTTCCTCTTTCACCTCCACGGGTGAAAACTGCTGATAAGTTCTACAGTCGTCTTAAAAAGTTTGGATCCTTTCGTTACACCACCCAGGTGACGGAAAACCGATAGCCCTGGGAAAACTCAATGGAAGATGTGGGGATCACTTCAGGATCTGGGCGTTCCAGTAGATACCGTGGGCTATGGGCCGGTGCTTAGGAGCTGGTTTCCCCCCCCCCCCCCCCCACCTCCAAGGTTTGGGTTTAGGAGGTTTTTCAGCTTTCGGGTGCTCCGCATGTCCGCCAGCCCACCTCAAGCCCGGCTGAGGTTAACATTCGCAGCTGGCAGCTAGTGAACAATCTGATCACTGAGCAGTGACTTTGTGTTCTTCTCCGCAAACATCGTCACCGGGGCCATCTGTGAGTACCGCAAGTTCCTGGACCATCAATGTGCTTCGCAACAAGATCATGCCCTTCAATGTTGTTCTGACCATGTGCTTACCAGCAACATGCCCTGCCTTTGTGTGTACGCATCGTAAACGCCATGCGACAGCTGTGCTTCATCATCCCCATCTGTGAAGACATGCATGCCTCGCCTGGGCTTTTGGCGCGCAGGACAACTCTACCAACTATTCAGATTGCTTGTCCAAGTATTGCGAGGACCATACTTGCCCATGACGATGGCAGTGCCGGTGTCCTTGCGCAGCCACATGAACGCCAGTTGCCCAGAGCTGAATCAGTCAGCGCAGGCAGCCTGGCAACCAGGAAGCTGTCCACCAGAAGCTTTGACCGCGTTCCTAGTCCGGCAGCAGCTGTTGTTGTAGCTTGAATTATTGCACCCGAACGACCCTGCGTGTGGATTATGTGGGCATCCTCACCACTTCATGTGAAACTCCACGTGCACGAAGCAGCAAATCTCAGCTCCGAGTAGCTGGAGCAAGTTGTGGGCCGTGAAGCGATCGTTTTCTGATGCCTGCTGACGGCTCGGTTGAGTTTATCGCAAGTCTCTAAGGAAAAAAGGGACTGCCCGATGCCGATTTGACAAGACCAAAGCCTCTGGATCCGTCAGAATCTTCCCCAGCTGAGCAAGGTGGCCCGGTCTCAAAAAGTGACCTCACAGCAGCTGCAGAGTGACCGAAGGCAGAGGATCAAACTCAGTTAACTGACAGGTAGGAAGCACTCGCACTTTGTTTCAGCTTAAGGCGTCACCCCATCTTGGACATGACATACCTATCTTGCAGCCCCTTGTTTCTGAAATGCTTTTGGCCAAGTCCACGGCTGATTTCAGAGATGCAATGCTTGGCCAACTCTCTGAGGACCCAAGGCCTTGGACAAGTTTGGTGCTGACAATTTGCCCTTCAAAGTTTGCTTGGTCTTCAATGCTGGCAAAAACAACCAATAGGCAATGGCCTTTGGTTTAGGGCTTAAGGTCTAAGAGGTCCATCTTGGTTTGGAATCCCCTTCGGCAGCGCCCACCGTCCCTGCAGCTGCCACTGTCTCCCGTTCCCCAACAGTTCAGGAGTCACCCAGGAACTAGGGTTCGGGAGGCTTAGGGGGAGGGTGATCCAGTGCGCACTCCCAGTTGCATCCAGTGCGCACTCCCAAATCAGCATCCAGCGCGCACTCTTTTTGCATCCGGTGCGCGCTCCTCGAATCTGCATCCACTGCGAACTCCTGCACGCATGCAGGGTTTAGGGTTTGGGCCTTACAGTTCAAGGGTTTTAGGGTTTTTGGGCTTAATGTTTCAGGCTTAGGGTTTAGGGTTTTGGCTTGTGGGTCCAGGTTTAAGGCTTCGGGTTTTCAAGGGTTTGGGGTTCGGGGTTTAGAGTTTAGGGTTTAAGGTTCAGGGTTTAGAGTTTAGGGTATAGGATTCAGGTTTTACGGTTTACGGTTTTAGGGTTTCAGGGTTTAAGGTTTCGGGTTTAGGATTCAGGGTCGTGGGTTCAGGTTTTAGGGTTTAGGGTTTAGGGTGTTTTTTTTAAAGTGCAATGGCTCTAGGGTTTAGGCTTTAGGGTTTAGGGTTTACAGTTTAGGGCTTAGGGTTTAGGGTTTAGGGCCAGGTTTTACGGTTTCGGTAATAGAGGGGCTTTCATATTAGAATACGGCTGTGGGGTCCATCATATTATACAGATAAGAAGGAACTCCCAAAATAGTATAGGTAACTAATTAGGCCCCTGTAGTAGGGTCTTTTTATCGGACTTTTTCTCCACTAGATAATCCAAGCAAGATGCTCTTCGAGCACGGCCCCAGCTACACAATCATTCGCAGGCGCAAAAGTAGGCACAGAAGCAGCAAGGTTTCAAGGCATGGCAACCCTCAACCATTGACCACGGGGTTTAGGGCTCAGGGTTTGTCGTGAGTGGGCAGATTAGGCAGGGGATAGAGAGGACCCGTAAGTCGTGCGTATACATGTAAACATATATATATATATCTATATTACACACACATATATATATATATGTACATATATGGCAGGGAAGAAAGGACCCCAAGTCGTGCGTGCGGCCTAGCATCCTAAGTCATGCGTGCGGCCTAGCAATTCTGCTTCGAAACACACCTACGAGCGCACACTCGACGCTACGAGCGCACACTCGACACATTAGGAGCGCATTCTCGACGCAAATCGGAGCGCACATTCGATGCCTCCCCAGGCTTAGGTGGTGTAGGGTTTAGGAGTCAGCGTCTAGGGTTTGGGAGTTTGGACTTAGGGTTTAGGCTTTAGGACCTTACATTCGGTCTCACGTTCGGAGTCCAGGAATCGAGGCTTCAGAGTTTGGTTTTTGGGCTTAGGTAAGTGGGGCTAGGGTTCAGGATTTGTGGTGTAGGGTCTTAGGGTTGAAGAGATAGGGTCCAGGGGATTTGGGATTCAGGAGTCAGGGTGTGGGATTGCGGGTTGGGTTGAGGGTGTATGTTTCAGGGTTGGGTTTAGGGTTTATGGTTCAGGGTCGTCAGGTTTCGGCGCTTGCTTCTAGGGCTTTGGAGCTGGGGGATCATAGTCGTAGTCGTCGGCGGCAGCAGCAGTAGTAGTAGTGGTGGTGGTGGTGGTGTACTGGCACTAGCAGAAGTGGTTTGCACTGGACCTTCAAAAAAGGACAGGGCACCGGACGTATGGGAAGCTTGTGGCTGCTTCTGCTGTCCCTGACAGCTATGCGCAGTGCCTCCAAAAGCCCTGTCCACCTCATATTTGCGCTAGCAATGCCAAGGGCTAGAGGAAAGAACTCTCTCTCTCTGGCTTGAGCCTCTGCTCCAAAAAAAACTGCCAACTTTCCTAGTGGAACTCAGAAATGCCACGCTTCCAGTAAGTGTCTGCTTGGTGCCAGGTCATGCAATGCAACAACAACAACAACAACAACAACAACAAAGGCTGTGGAGCCAGCTGTACAGCCACGATTGTTTTGGCAGTTCCGGACACCTGCGGCAAACATACACAAAGGCAGAGCACAATCTTCGAAGTGATAGAACAAGTATGCGTCCCATCTTCTCAACTTATTCAGATCACTGCAATGTCACTCTTGCTAGAACAGATCTGGGAATGATCTGGAACGGCGCTCCACTGCATTTGCATGCCAGTATGTCTCCATGCAGCAGAATCAGCAGAACCCATCGATTGCCTGGATCTCTTGGGTGCTGATGCCGCTGCTCAAGGACTCCATTTTCTGGCACGTGCAACAAGCCGCCGCTGTAACTACATAATTCAAAACATAATATGAACTGAGCTGCGCTCAGATCTGCCACGTGTGTTAGCTGCATTGGCAAAGACAGCGCGTAGCAGCTGATGTGGCCTACCTTGAACGGGACATCCACAGGGTTGGCATGCTGGAACATTGCTTGGTACCTGTTGCTTGCAGGAGCTATGTAAATCTGGAGGCCACAAACAAGTTTCGGTTCTTCAAGAGGCCAACCGGGATGCGCGCTGAAAGGTCACGTCTGGAACTAGGTCCTCAACCTGGCATCCGTCTGATATATCCAAACCAGCGCTCCAAAAGCTTCCAAGCCACACAAAGGCCTCTTTGCCACCTTTGTCGCAGCCACATTGTCCACATGAATCTTGCTGTGCCTCATCTTTTGCAAGGCCAATCAGATCTGCAGACCATCACACTCATCGCGTTGTAGCGCATTGGCTTGCTAGTAATCCGTCACATGCCAAACGGCAGGGAAGGGGTGGCTCGAGAGTTTCGAGGTAGGCCCAAAAGCAGACCCACAGAGATGCCACCCGCTGAGGAATTTCTGCAAATCATGCCAACTGTTGCTGGTTTGAATTCCTGCCAGGCGCTTAATGCAAGCTTTAGAGCTGTCCTCCCCATATATCCCCCAGCCCAACTGCAATGCGCTAGGCCTTCTATCAGAACCATGACAAGCTCAAGATGAAGCAAGCAACGTAGGCCATGTCACGACAGGGATGCGATTTTGACTCTTGAGCAAGGCAGCTAAAAGCAGGAATCGTTGCTGGTGGCTGATTGGAATGCATCAGAGTGCTCCTGCATCCGCACCCTTTCCCCGTCTGACTTGCCTGTCCTGCAAAGCCAGCTGATGGCACAGCTATGCGTTCTACCGTCTTGTGCGACTAAGATCTACGCAACTCAACTGGGCAGCGAAGTATTTGATATGATGAACCTAATAGGTGCCCCCGGACTACAACTGGAATGCTGCTTCACGCTACTCTGCTAGTGTTCATACAAAGATTTCTACCTCTGAGGCACATAGATGCGTTGATAGACAACATGTCCTTTGACATCAGTCTTGTCTTCAAGGGAGTCCCATGCTGCCAAGTCAGGTGCAAAAGCTTGAAGCAGGCTCGACGATCTGTACAAGCTACCGGCGCAGCCCGTGGTCAAGCTGTGCTAGAATTATCTCGTGTTGAATGGGCTGCCCCATGATGCCGCTTAAAACAGCAGAAGCTCATCTAAACGTGTGTCAATGTCCTTCAATTGTGCGGAGGGACCGGCGGATCGTTCAACTAGTGACTAGCGTCTGCGCCCAGAAGCCATTCGGAGAGGGTCACAGGACAGGTGCATATCCTGAAGTCAGCAAAGCAGAGGCACAACCTGCACCCTAACCCTGCTTGCCCGGGAAATTTCATGTTTCAGCGAGGCACCGCTGAGGGCATCGAGGCACTCTCGGACGCCGGAGACCTAAAAATTGTCTTCCACACATGCATTTGTACCCTTGCAGGTGCTAGGTGTAATGACCAGCACAGCCACACAAACTGGTCTTGCTAACCAGGGCCCTGGCCGTTGTTTCTTTCAAACACTGCCGAAGTCCAGCTCTGTCCACGGTGCCGAAAGCCATCTCACAGACCTGCACAGACCCTTCTGTTTTGATGCAGCAGTGTTTTTTCCTATGAATAGCCCCATGACAACACCTCAGCGCATCGACAAACTGAAATCCATCCTTGGCGGGCTTAACAAACCCCCTAAACTGAATTGCCGTCAATTACTGTTCCCAAAATGGGGGAAATCATAGAGGGACCTGCGTTGCAATACCAAACCCACGTTGAGAATCCGCATTATAATCAGCATAGGGAAATCTCCCTTTACCACCATCAGCTTTTCATCAAAAACAGCGTAAAGCTCCGCCGTGCTCCCCGCAGCTCTAACCAGTCTATCCTGTTGCACCTGTACGCTGTACCTTCACTTGGATTGGCTTTGTCCATGTCAAGTCCCCTAGGTTGCTCCTGAGGCAGGACCTGCATATGATAAGCCAGCCCTTGGCCGAGCTGCTACATTTTGTCCTTGAACTGTAATCTTAACTGTTGATTTTTGCTATGAGGTTCATTGTGGTGCGTCGTTGAGTAAAGGGCCCAGCCCTCCCAATCTTGTACACACAGAGCTTGTGAAGCTCGCACGTAAGTTGATCAGCTTTGCGCCCCTCTTCAGCGCTCAACGGCCTGCGCGTCTAGGGCTGCGTGTGCTCAATTTCCATTGCTTCTTGCGCTATCAGCGGCGAGGTAGTTCCGTTGGCAAGCCTTGCCAAGCCATTAGTTGAGGCCTTTTTTCGTTTCGGCTCCAGTTATGCAGGTTTGGGATTCACATGGGTTTGGCTTGTTTAGGCCTGTCTTGGCTTTTGGTTTTGCAGTTCTCCAGGATTTTGGGCTGGGGCTTCTTCGTGGGGTTGCTCACGACTCTACACGATTAGGGTAACGGCTTGTTTATAAAGGTTCCACGAGGTCTAGGGTTTGGCAAGCACGATCCCCTTGACAGGATGCTTCCTGTCCAACGACATCAAGCCATGCGGTTCCTTCTGCATATGCAGCGGCAGACATCCTTGCACCTCACCTCCATGCATTTCCCATCTGCAGGCATGGATCGAAACTTTACCTATACACCTACTGCACTCCTGCCGCCTGCGCGGCAGGATTTGCTCAATTCGGCCCTGCAAAACCGTTGACGATAGCCTATATTGCTGGGCTTCTTCGATGCACTTATTTCGCCGTGGTTCCGCTGATGGTTTCGAGTCCCACTGATGTAACGTATGGCCCAAATGAGTTGTCGGTGTGCATCCTAAGGCAGAGATTTGAATCCAAGCAGTGACTCACAGACAGTTAAACTTTTAGCTCCCTCAGTATGAGGTCGAGGCTCCCAAGTTGTAAAGTGCCAAACTTGTGGTAAAGTTGCACCTAGCCACATGCTGCAGCGCCATCCGCCTTGGCACCTGCTGTTACTGTTGTCGAAACGGACCTGAGGATTTTGTCGAACATCACACAGTGGCCTGATACTTCACTCCCTGGCATTCTTCTGGACAGAGGCGCCAGCAGCATGGCAGTGTTGACAAGATCTTGGCTGATCACGGAAGCGTACCTGACTCATTCTCAATAAACGTCCAGGCTCAGCTTTCAAGAAAGCAGTCAATAAATTCTCAGACATAGTCAGCAAATCAGTTTTGGGAAGCATTCAAAGAAACTTGTGCCACGATGTCTGAGCGCAACACTCAGCTGGCGGTCTTTGGCTGTTTTCCCTGGCCAGTGCACGATGCTGCAGAAGGCTAAGCAACTAGCAACCGTGCTGAGCAGACGAGTAGAGGTGCGCAGCTCTTGCAGCAACTGCTAGCGCCGCCTGATTTGTGGCAAAGGAGAATTCTGGTCCACTGCAACCCTCACATAAGACAAGTGCTGAGAGGCTGGCAAGGAGCAGTCCCCATCCTCATGCTTTACCCAAAAGCCATGCGTGAAAACTGCTGAGGAAGCCAAGACTCTGGCTGATCAAGCCAAACAGGCGGTTTGTGAGGCTGCTCTTCTTGAGACCTGCGCTACTGCAAAACAACAAAGGTGTAACAAAAGTGATGTACTCTGAGCGTTGCATCCAGGCTGCTCTTCAGCTCTCCTCGGAGGTCCTGTGCGACAGCTCGGCCTGGCTGAGAGCAAATCAGAAGCCTTGGAGTGGCCTGTTCTTGGCCTCGTGCCTCGCACAGTCTTCAGGGACAGGTCCATCAGCTTGGATCCTCAAAACATGACCACATCCGAAGGAAGAATTGAGGAAGAGTAGAAATTCTGTTCGCGTCATGTCACCCGCAAAGCCGTGAAGATTTTTCACCAAGGCATGCAAACAATGTAGCTCGCACTCTGCCATAATCCCCAAGCTCTTGCAGTTGGCAACAACAGAAGACAAAAGAAGCTTCATTTGGCTGACTTTGCTGTCTTGTCTCACTATGCAAAGGATGCTTCGCCGCTTATGCTGTGCAGCCCTTGAGCTTCGTTTCAACCGGCTGGACGGCTGGGAAGGCATCGACTATGGAGCATTCACGGCCCAACTGAACAGTCTGATTCCCCACTTGATTTCCGGCTGCATGCATAGCCTGTAACAATGCTTGGCTTCCAGCTCACTCTGAAGTCCCGTGAGAAGCTAGAGGCTGTCGTTTGGTCCTCGAGCAGTTTTTGTTTTCTACCAACCACTGCACCCCTCTCTCACGACTGTATGGCGTGCCAAACTTGCCGGCGCTTAGTCCTCGAAACAAATGGAATGTGCCTGTCATGCGAAAGTCTCACAAAAGTCTGCAACACACATCCATCCACATCCACTGCTGCCATGCACAAACAAGCTGGAGCTGCAGGCAGTGTTGGTCCCTGCAACGCAAAACTAACCATGGCTTCGCCGTCCTTGTGGGAAACAGGTTTCTGTGGAGAACATCCCCTGTGGGACATTCCAGCATCAGCAACAGCTTGTACTGCTCTGCTCAGAAATCGATCGTCCACACCCGCACAAGTGCTCCTCGTCAGCTTCCTGCCTAGCAATGGCAGTGAAGGGATTCATCTCAGTCTTGAAAATTCGCACCAACTGTTCACACGATGTTTCAGGCTTGCAATTGAAAGACCTGCGGAGCACCATCTCCGGAGTGATCTGGAAGGATAGTGATGGCTTGTCCACAGCCTGACCATGAAAAGAAAAGGAATATATTTGGGCATGCTGCATGATGAGAGGCGCTAGATACTGGAACTACTTGCAACACATGGAAGGTAATGACAGCTAGATACTCAAACGCAGCCTCACCCCCAATGCAGGATTTTGGCATCAATTCTGCAGCAGTTCCTGATCCAAAGACTGCTGGGAGAGCTTTCTCACGGCACATCTTGGCCATGCGCTTCCGAAGCAAGGATTGAAACATTTCAGGGATAGATATTGGTCCTCCTGAGGCAGGAAAGCCCCCTGTACATAGAGGCACAGCTAGCCTCTCCCGTCAGCCTGTCGCTTGTAATTTGATGAAACCAGTGCTTATCCAGATACGCCGGTGCCGCTCATGCAGCCTCTACAGGTGGTCCTGCTCCGAATGGTTGCTGTGTGGCCATGTCCATGGACACTGGCGGCGGTGGTGGCGGCGGCGGTTGCCGCAGAGAATTCACGAGGCAGCTTGCTTGATAGATCATCTGCTCCATGTGTGGGACAACACTATAAAGCTCGTCAACTGTGATTCCCAGTCTGTGCAGCTCCTCTTCCGCGCGTGCTTCAGCTTCGTGCTTCTCTTGGGCCGTCAAGGCTTGAAGCTCCTCATCGTTTAAGCCGTCAGCTCTTATGTGCACTGCAGGTACAAGTTCTCGCAGACCGGTCTGCAAGTTCGACGCTGCAACCACAAGGCGCGGAAGTGCAGTGTTCATCATCGCAAGCGCCTGCCAACTGAGTGTCAGTATGGCAGCCAACAAGAGCTCACCGAACAGCTTAGACTACACAGCTGCATGCCTCCTCTGCATTTGCTGGTAAGGGCGGTCTGCTTTGAGGGGGATCTCCGTGACCCAAACTAGCCGCCCACTTCTGGACCTTTGCTGCCAAAATCTGCGATAAAAAAGTCAAAACAGGCTCCAAAAAAAAGATGCTATGTAGACATTGATGCGTCAAAATCATACTACTTGATCACTTGATGTGCAGCAAGGCGCATTGTAGCTGGCAGCCTGAGCAGACAATCATATGATCAACAGGACTGATGCGCAAAACTGTTGCCCCTTGACAGCAGCAAAATCTCGCGCCTGCACACCGTATGATAACTTCACCAAGTCTTCTGCCTGCGTTGTGGTGAACTCTTCCTTCCGGCTCATGGACTGAAACCTCAGGGAAGTAGTCAGACATGAAATGTCCCCAAGTTCATCCTGGCAATGGCCGCATTAACTTTTGACAGCTTGCACCATCCTTGACCTGTCCACAAGCAGTGTTGCAGCTTGCGCAATCGCGCTTTGTAAGCCTGTCACAGGACACAAATGGAGCTGCCCTTGAGATCGAGCAACATAAGGCTTGCACAGCATTGCTGGAGCACTGCCGGAGCAAGCGTTGAAGACTAAGAGCCCGTCGAACTGCAAACTGACGCAATGGAACGCGGCTCGCAGCGCCTCCCGCAGGGTGCGCATGCGCAATCAGTGCTATCAAAGACACCTCAACAGAAATCGGCCTGTATCTGCTTGAGACATGGGTCCACCAAACTCAAGTTTGGGACCTTCCGTGCAGAATCGTCCTGCAGTCAGGTCAAAATGTTGAAAATACTAAGTGTGGATCAAGGCGCCTGCGGTTTCCTCATTGGGAGGCATAAGAGCACTGCCGAAAACGCCGCAGAAGGCACCCTCCGGCATTGGCAGCAACTTCGGACTCAAGGCATCCTGAGGTGGAGCCGACACAGCATGTGAAGACCACTCCAGCTTTTATCATGAAATCCAAGGTAGGTGGGCAGGGGGAGGATCTTGTGATGCGTCCAAGTTTCATCTTCGGCTGCTCCCAACTTGAAATGAAAGCCACCTTTTCTCTTGGTTGGTGAGCCAGCAGCTGGTGAGACACCTCTGCGCCCTGGCAGTGGCCGAGCCTGCGTAGAACGTTAACTTGGCAAAGGAAGCAACAACTGAGAGGCATCGCCTTCGCGGGCTTGAGACCTCCGGGTTTGGACGGGCTTGACATCTGCTCAGGTCACTCTCTGCAACGAGGCAGGAACTTTCAAAGCTTATCACTTCCAGGGTTGCGTCTGAGCCGTCAACAGCTGCAACATGATGCAATCTCAAACATTCTATGCTGGAAGTCGATGGAAACACCTCTGCGCTAGTTGTGAATTTTCATCTCACCCATACACGCAGCATGCTGTCCAAATGATGGAGTGGCATGTGAAGTCTTTTTACAGAAATCCAGACGCACGGGAGTGTCGAGTTCGATCTGCCTGTAGTAGCAGCAAAACACGTGCACGACTCACACCTGAAGCCTTGCCTTGCTTTTGGTGCCAAAACTTGAAAAGTGCTACACTGCTACAAGTACATGCAATGAATCCATAACTGCGGTAAGGCTGCTGCTGCAACGCTGGCCACTGCAACGGCAGGGGAACAGTCGGAGAAGAATATACGAGTCTTGCTTGCGTCTGCCTTGCATGAGCCATGTTGTAAATCCAGCACAAAAGCAGCTTGAAACTCTGGACCGCCAAAGCTTGCCACATTGTGTAGGCGCGTGACTCTGTCCTTGGCAAAATGCTTCTCAAGCTCCAGCAGCCTCAAAACTTGAAATGTAGCAATGCACAAGAAGACATGGCATCATGACATAGTGAGCTGGCATGAGCTGGCTGAACCACTCACCAGCTGAGCCATTGACGCGTTCTGGGAGGCATCTCTGGCAGACTTAGCAAAGTACTTGTACTGCTTGGCCTCCATTGGCGATAAACTTCAACCCTGCTCCACTATCCAATTCCAGTGCTGAATGTAGAGTGAGCGTCCTGCCCAGCTGCCACCTCTGCATTTCCTGAGCAAGACCATGTTCTCCAGACTTGCCCACATCTTGTGCTGTATGGATCCAGTGCACAGTGCCACGCAACAAGTGTAGAAGCTGCGCCGCGCACGGGATGCAATCATGGCTACTGATGCGGCGTCAGCCACCTGCGGACATGACCCTGATCCAGCAAAATCCAAGCACAAATCCACGTACACTTCTGACACAAACCACGCCCGTGCCTCCTGGCCCCAGGCTTTGCAGAGCGCATTTGGCCTGCAAATTTAAGGCTAGCAGACGAGGGCAAGAACTTGGCCTGCTTGGCTCCATACTTTCCGCGCTTCGTCCCCTTCTTGTTCCTCACAACATGACGCTATCACAAATCGAATGCTTAGGTACACTTCTGAGAAACACTGGTGAAATCAAGAAGGCCCATAATCAGCGGTGCGTAAATTGGTGTGACTGATTAACTTGGGCAACAAGAAAGCATAGATTTCCACAATGCACAACAGGAGGACTGCTTCTGATCATCACTTCTAGTAGGCCTCGAACTTATGGGACATCAGCTCTTTTAACAATCCCCTGCTCAACTGCAACCAACACATCATCCACTTCAGCCCATGCACAACCCGCAGGCACGGAGAACGTGAACAAGCAGCAGCAATCTGCCATGTTTAAGGATAATCTCTGTAAACAATACGTTGTGCAGTTGTGAAATTGCAGCGAGGGTGTGCAAAAGCGCTGCATGCCGCCGTAAATGCTAATGACATTAATTCGCGGCCTCTGGCCGACAGGCGTAAAACTGACCAGGATCCAGCCTTCGCCCCACTGGGTCTCTCAAAAACTCCTATCCCCCAATCAAGCACGTGTTCTGGACCCCAGGATTCTGGCTTGGGGTGTAGAGCGCCATCCAAGTTTTTCTGTAGTTTTTTGAATGTTTCTCCCTAAACCCAAGTTACGCCTTGGACGTCTTGGCCTCTGGCCAGCCCGGCCGAGGCGGACGCGAGCTTCTTACAATGAGAAGGCTTTACCGCAGCTGCAGCGCGTGCAAACGCCGAACGCTGCACTAATCTCCCAGGAACTCCCAAAAAAAAGATGCAATATGGCACTGCTCCAAAAAACACCATCCAACCGCCCTGTAACTGTCGCACCTACCAGGCCCTAGCAACCTGCTAACTTTTCCCGCATCTTTATCCCCAGAGAGCACTAATGAGAAAACGTCTTGGCCACTGCGTGGGCCGCGGCTCTGCCAACGTGTTCCAACACGTTGGAAGTACCCAGGTTCTTCTCTTTTCTGGCCGCTTTGCTGAGCACCGTGCATAATGAAAGACGAAGGAGCTGACTTCTGATGTGGAATCGAGGTCTGGCAGTCGAAGCGGTCCAAGTCACCTCGGCTCGTGCTCAGCGCGCGCCGTCATGTGCAGACCCGTGCAATCCAGTCATGGCTCACATGGCTCAAGATCTCAAAAGATTCGCTGAGACAGGAACACAACAGACAGCAGCACTTGCCAGGCACATGGAGCAAGCAAACCATTCTTGCTGCTTTGGGCAGTTGAGGGTTGCCTGTACTTGGAGCAGAATGCTCGTCCTTGCTCCGGAGATGCAACAAGATCATACAAAATTTGAAAGAATTCTGTGTTGCGAAGTCTTCACCTAAGACATCCCTGCAGCTTCGAGCAAACCCAGGCATAGCATCCACGCATGTGTGCAATATGCGTGTGACATTAAACTGCCATAAAATGCTAGAACAACTGGCCTCATCCTCTGAGAAGAAGTTCAGCTCATAGCTACCAACCTCTCACACAAAGCCATCAATACTTAGACCTTGCAATGCGAAGGAAGGCATCAAAGTGGCTGAGCTATTGGCACGCTTGCTGTCTTCTGGCGGATCCAACAACATCATCTCAGCACAAGACCAATGCTAACACGCTTCAAAACTGGCTTCCCGATTTTGCTCAAAAATGCATCTGTTCAGCTTGGCCAGAGCACTGCGCCCCTGCCAAGCAAGACCTCCACACAGACGTGCAGCCTCTGAACTGTCTTGAGAGACAAACCAGAACCTGATGCGGACCTCGCTGGATGCCTCCCCACTGGGATCTGGCCCATAAAGCTCCGCGCCTCCAGCGAGCTGTTACATGCAAAGACATGGAGGAGATGCGCATATCTTCAGCAATTGATAGGACTTTTCCTCATGTCAAGATCACTTGTATCTGGCAAGTGGATTTCTGCGGGGCGTGCTCTCAAAAAAAACACACGACCTTTTTGAAACTAGCTGTCTCAATTTGCAAGTGCAATCAAAGGTCCATGTCTTGCCTATCCGAAACACAAGAAGGGGCTGATGCGTGAATGAGCCTCCAAACACGAGAGGGCAGCTACCGGCATAGTTGGCAACGATGGCAGCTTCCAACCTCCAGCAGTCATTCTGCCACATGTGATTTTTACCAAACCCTTGTCTCACGGCTTGCGTCTTAATATCTTGCCCTGCAACGTAGCCCACCAGCAATGCTTTTGCCATCACTGCATACTTGTGCCTCGTTCGATCAGCAGCTTCTGCATTTCCAGCATCCTGAATTTTCTTTGAGAACATCGCTTGTGAGCTCAGGGTTTCTTGCTGCATTGTTTTGAGCCGTCCAGGCAATGGTCCTTGATCTTTGCGGAGGCCTCGTGAGCCTGAAACCACCGATGCAGGCATTCACTTTGTTTTGTCAAGCAAGGCCATCCTACACACGAGCGACGCGAGGCTTCGGCAACTTCTGCTTTGCTAGCCAAGGCTGCAAACTCCGATGCTTCATCCGCTGTCCTGAGCTAGACTTAGGCACGGCGATAGCCATGTTTGCGATGCTGGGGACGTGACCCAAATGCCAACCGATACCTTGCAAGCGTGTTTTGGTTGCAACGTGTCGAGTGTCCTCGAGAATTAATACATGGTGAAACGACAGCTATGCCGTGCAAGCTTGGTACCCAACGTCCGGTGCATCGACCTGCAGTTCTTTGCAGCACACACTCCAGCGTCAGCGGCCACTGAATGTTCTTCATGCCCAAGGCTCTTGCTCCGAAGTAGTGACAATAAATGTCTTGATTTCGTCAACCGATCCACCCACCTCTAGATGTGTTTGAAAAAGCTTTGATGACAACCAGTGGTCGTTCAGCGTTGTCTGAGCGAATGGCAGCAGCTGCACGAATCAAGTTTCCCAGTGGTTTTGCCTGGTCCATCACAACATACACATGATAGCATATGCCAGGGGGAGATGTTGGGGCTAACAGCACCTGCCTTAACGCTGCCTGCACCTGTGGGCTTAAAGACGAGAAGGAAGGACCTTAACATGTCAAACTTGAGGCGGCGCCTGCAATGCTGAAGTTTGATCTCAGCGCGGAACTCTGAGTCAACAGTGATTGATCCCGTGCTCCATGTGACCCAGTCAACCTGACATGACATCCTGCCAGACAACCTCAACTTGACAGGGGAATCAAACCAGCCTCTTGCCACTCCTCCTCGGCTTCCGGCCCTCGCACCTGTGAAAGAATCTCCGATAGTGAGCTTCTGAAGCCCAAACTACCTGAGCGCCCAACCTTTGCTGGCAAACTGATGGAAACGTCGTGGAACATCGCTGCTGTTTTGCCACTTGATGCCAGAAAGGATGCCGTGAAGCTATCGAAAGACAAATAACAACAGCAGGGTCGCGACATGGAATGAGTTCTTGAACAAATTTACGCTGGTAAGCCAAATGCGGCCAAATGACGCGGAACAAAACTTGCCCAACACGTATGCACATGGAACCGCAGCAGCAATGTGCTGCTCATGATGGGCGCTCGTCAATATCGTTCGGCTTCCATGAGCGCAGTCCAAGCCACTGCCGGTCAGACCAAACATGTTTGATTCTGGATCCCATAAGCCATCAACGAACGATACTAATAATTTTCCAAAGGTCCAACAAGCTGTAGAAACAAAGACCTGTCATGCTTAAACTGCCCGCGGGTCCGGACTGGACAAAAACCCTGCAACGGTAACGTAACATGTATTTACATGTGGAAATTTTCCCACGAAAATAGTGAGAAACCATGACCATGTGGCAGATTACATCAGCTTAAGTTTCAAAGGCAACAAAAACTGACAACAGCAATCCTTTTTTTTTTTCCTGTAAGGTTAGGTCAAGTGGCGGAAACATCAGGAACTGATTTGTCTCTGACATTCTATGACGGTCGGGCCCAAACAGGGTCTGACAGAGCCCTGCAGGACAGAAAACCTACAAGCAGAACGGACTGGCTGCATCACCGGCCAACATGCCACTCAAGACGTGCAGTGGGTTGACCCGCAAGGACAATGATGCAGCCAAAACGCAATTCAGGACAGTGCACCAAACAGAGAGAGGATATCCAGGTCAGGCGGAAAGACTTGGATAACAGGCAGGGACGACAGCACAGACCAAGGCGGAGTGCGAGCCTGGCCGGGGGTAAAACCAAGCGAAGCAGGGTCAGATGAGCGACTAAACTTTTCAGCAATGTCGTTCAAAAGGCCAGGTATATGATTGACGCGGACACACGACAATCCTCCTGAAAGTGCAGAAAACAGCGCAGGCGCAGGAGATGGCGCAATCCCTTGGCGGAGGACAAGCCCTTCCAGGAGGCAGATTCAGCAACCGCGTTGTCGCAAGACAAGTGAAAATGCACAAGCAGATGGTTCGGCGGAAGCATGGAATGTGCCAGCCATACAAGGGCGATTTGAGCCAGCAGCTCCCAGCAGGCACTGAAACGCTGGGGCCGCTGGGGTATGGCGGTGGGAGAAAACCAGTCCACCGGAGCAAACAAATCAGCACGGAAAACTGGTGCTGGAAAAAAACAAGTCTGGCCGGCGGTTTAGGTCACCCATGCGGTTTCGCAGCCTTTACGTGGAGAACTGTGCCACATTTCTGAGCCGAATATCCAGCGGAAGGGGGCTGTCGCCAAAGTTAGAGAGCAAAGTGCACCAGAGTTCTAGCAGCCCTGCCATAGTCAGCCGTTGTGACTGGTAGGTGCCCTCTTCCAGCCACATACCTAAAGCTCGCCTGTGAGTCGCAATGTGTTTCGAAGCACAGTGCCAATGGTCTACGTGACGGTGGGAGCATGAATGAGTGAGCAGCTGTCATAAGAAATGACCGTCGGAGTCAAACACATGAATTCTTGTCAACCAACATGGAAGACGAAGATGGCTGCCTTCACTACAAAAAAATTAACAGTGACCTCAAAGTCACCCGGACAGCGAATGAAACACCCCAGACCAGCTGACGCAGACTCAGCGCAGGCGTCAGCACGGGCTTCACACTGCAGAAGCGGGCTAGGGACAATGCAGCGATCAAGACATTGGGCGGCCAACAGGTCCAGCCAATGGATGACTTCCTGAGAAGCCTGCGAGGCGGGCCTGTCATGAGACCACGGCAACCCGGCTTTGGTCCAGACCCGACGTTATTGTCATTGGACCGTGACATATGTAATCAAATTCGCAATCGATAACCAAATCAATATCAGAATATTTCTTCCTCAATCAAAGCCCATTCAATCTCGAACGTCTTCTT